TCATCAGCCTGACCCATGTCCCCCTCCCTGCACTATGCAGCGCACGCGTGTAAATATATGTGCACACGTGTGTGTTCGCTTCTGCCAGGTGGAGCCCCTGGCGGACCTTTCAGCTCTCCTTCATTCTTGTAACTGCTGTCTCGTATGACCCTGTGCATGGGGCCGCGGTCTGTTTGACATGTCTCCACTGACGGGCGTTTCGGGGGTTTCTGGTCACCCTTAGTTTTTCTCAGAGGTTAACTACCGTCAGTCAATGTCCTGCAGCACTCAGTAGCTACCATTTATTGAGCACCTACAAAGTGATGGCATTCAGCCTGACATAGCACAGTCTTGTCAACACCTGCAAGAAGCAGGTGCTCCTACCGTCTTCATGTTACAGAGGGAGGAAATTAAGGTTCCAAGAAGAGATAGCATCCACTTGAGGCTGCCCAGCTTATCTGCAGCAGAGCAGAAGTTCGAATTCAGATATGCCCCCTCACTCAGTTTATGACACTGCACACGCCTGAGAGCCAAGACAGGGCCTTGCCCGAGCCTCTAAGCCGCTGGGAGTTGACAGGCTGGTAGGAGAGGCAAGTGAGCAAAGGGAGGTGAGGGTGTAGTGTTGGGTGTGCTGAGTATGAAACTGGGGATCCCCCCGACCCCAGTCTCCTGAGAGTGCTGTGATGAGCTCTGGAAGGCATGTGCAGCCCCTTCCCAGGTATCTTGGGTGGCGTTCTATTGTGGGGTGGGGGGGCTGCTGGGGAAAGTGGCCTCCCCTGGGGTTAGGGCCATGTGGAGACAGGGGTGCATTTCCAGAATGCTGAGAGCAGGTCTGGGGCAGTAGCTGGGTGTGCTCACAGTCATCCTTGACTCTGACTCAGGACAAGCAGGTCACCTGAGGTGGGGTCCTGGTTCAGATAGCCGGCTTTCACCCCGAGCAGGTAACCATCCCCCCTCTGTGTTGTGGGTTCCTTGTCTGTATGATGGGGGTCGCACCTGCCCCCTTACACTGATCCCTCTAGGTCCCGCGTGTAAGTAGAATCATACAGTATTTGTCTTTTTGCGAATGGCTTATTTCAGCATAATATCCTCAAGGTTCCTCCACGTTGGGACACAGGTCTGAATTTCCTTCCTTTTCGTACACCTTATTGTATACACACCACGTTTGTCTGTCCATTCACCCATCAGGGGACACTTGAGTTGCTCCCACCCTTTGGCTATAGTGAAGAAAGCTGCTGTGCACACTGGTGTATAAATATAATTTAAAATATACTAGTGACTCCCAAAATATAGGTGCCTAGGCTCCACCTCGCCCCCAACACCCTCCTGATGAGATTGTCCTGTGACTAGACTCTGTTACTGGAATGCTCTTCGAAACCCCCAAGTGGCTCTGACCTGTGGCCGGGATTGAGAACCTTGCAATGGCATAGTGCACACTGCAGGAGGCCCCGGGCTGTCGGCCGGGGTGATGGGGCTGCTCTGGGCTCATGTGTGACCCTCATAAAAGGAAAAGGAGCTCCATTTGCTCGGAGCTAAAGCCCACCTCATGACTCTTCTTTGCCAAGGACTCGAAGCTGGCCCTGTGCCAGTGTCCTGCCTGAGTGCGGGGAGCTCTCCCTGCAGCTCCACTGGGTATCCAGGTGACTCCTTGAGACATGGCTGATGTTGCAGGTACCCCGGTGCCTAGCGGGAACACCAGCATTTCCACCCTCTGAGGGAGCAAGAAAGAGATGGGGGTCAACTTCTCCCCCAGGAAGAGAAAACCCCACAAATTCCAAACTGAGGAAGAGCTGGGAGAGGCTGCTGAGCACAGGGGCACCCTGGGTGTCCGTGCCCCCCGCCCACACTGCCACACGCCCATCAGATGAGCCCTGGCTGCCATCTTCCTAAAATAAAAGGGTTGGAAGGGTCAGCTTGAGTGGCTGAAGCAGACCGGTGGAGCCATCAGGAGCCAGGCTTCCTGGGGTCCGTCCTTGCTTCGCTGCTCACCAGCTGTGTGAGTTTCCTGGGGCTCCTGGGAGAGAAAGTGCCACCAACCAGGGGGCCTAAAACAATAGAAGCTCATCCTCTCAGAGTGGGGGGCCAGAAATCCAAAATTAAGGTCTCCCCCCTCCACAAGGCTGTGCCGCCATGCGCACACTTTATGGGAGGTCCTTTTCCTTGCTTCTTTTGGAGTTCCTTGGCTTGTGGACGCAGAGTTGCAGCCTTCTCCGGCTTCATATGGACGTCTCTCCCTTGTGTATGTGCGATGCCTGTTGTTGGCTATAGGGCCCACCTCTCATCCAGCCTGACCTCATCTTCCCTTGATTGCGCCTGCAAAGACCTATTTCCAGATAAAGTCACATCCACAGATACCAGCGGTTAGGACTTGGACTTTTCATTTGGGAAACACAACTCAACCCACAACACCAGCTGTATGACCTCAGGCAAGGTATTAACCCCTCAGTGCCCTCTCCTCCCGTGTATCATGGGGACAGACTTCCAGGCCCTACTGGGCCCCACCTGGCTCTACGGAGTTGGAATCTGCCTTTTTTTTTTTTTAAAGATTTAGTTATTTATTTTAGAGCGAGCACGCGTGTGATCGGGGGGGAGGGGAAGAGAGAGAGGGAGAGAAATCCTCAAGCAGACTTCCTCCTAAGCAGGGAGCCCCACGCCGGGCTCGATCCCAGGACCCTGAGGTTACCACATGAGCCAAAACCAAGAGTCGGCCGCTCAATCGACTGAGCCACCCAGGTGCCCTGGGAATCTGCCCTTTAACAAGACTCCCCACATGGTTCCTGCTCACATTTGGGGGTGAGGAGCACTCGGTGGGTTTTAAAAGACTAGATTCGGCGCTCAGCACAGCAGAAGCACTTCATATATGTCAGCCATTATTTCTAACCTTCATTTTTCCTCCATTTTATAAACACTGAGAGCACGTTCCATGTGCCCCGAGAAGCTCCGGTCACCACATAAAACAGGGCAGAAGCCCACGAGACATAATCCCTACCCCCGAGGAACTCAGAGCTTAGGGGGGAAAACAGCCACGTGCAATCTTTTTAAATGTGGTCAGACCGATCTGGGTGATGATTGGATTTTGCCAAGGGTTCTGCGGGCCCTGAAGTGCCAGGTAGGATGGAGTGCCTGGTGGGGAGCCTGGCACCAAGGCCTGTTGCTCTCCTCACCAGCCAGATGTGTGGTTGCCCAGGCAACCGGCTGATGCCCCAGAGACGGCACTCGGGACGCTGTGCCCGAGTTCCCGCTGTTTCCTTGGAAGCACTAATGACTGTGGAGAGACCGCCTCCAGTGGGCACGTAGGGGACTGAGTGCCCGGGCTCTTTCCCCTCTTTCAAACAAATTGTCCGTCTCCCCAGCACCTGGCTTTCCAGGCAGATTGTCCGCAGGACGCCCAGCTGCAGTCGGTCTGGAACTGCCACGGGCCAGTCTCACCTCCCTAGTTTAAAGGACTTCTTGTGCGTCTCAGAGCAGGGGTGCAGCTTCCATCAAGGCAGAGGAAGCTCTCAGGTGTGCCTGCCAGAGTGGCTCGGTGGTCGGACCCAGAGGATCTGCAGCTACGCCTGCTCCCGGTCCCGGCTCTGGTTCTTACTTGCCACAGGACTTAACCGCTCCCAGCCTCGGTTTTTCTCCTCTGTATAATGGGCCCAATCATATCCCACACCTTGTTGAATGGTTGGGCAGATTCAAAAAATTACTTTATTATATAAAGTGCTTCACACAGGGCCTGGCCTGTGGAGAGCGCTCCAGAAGTGATAACCATTATGCTCTTGTGTCACTTGTCACTTGGGTCATTATGCAGGGTGGTTGTTCCTGGAACATGGTAACCACTGGATAAGTGGTAGCCAGTATTGCTGTGTTTCATAGCTTTGTGAGCGTGAGTTGAGCCATGCTTTACCTGCCAGCCAAAGCAGGGGGGCAGACCAGGGCTAGGCTTGGGTCTCATTTTGTGTCCTTTCTCTTACTCCCGGTGTCCCCATGGAGCCAGTGGCCAGGGTAGGCATCCCTACACTCCTCTTGATAATCCCAAGTCCCTGGAGGGTAATCACTGATGAATTCATCTGTCAGTTAATTATACCAGCAGGTAACATCCCAGTAATTGTATTTGCTAAATTAGCATCTCTTTGCACATCCACAGGGGCCTGGGAGGTTATAAGCTGTCTCAGGTTGAGGGTCGAGACCTGAGGGCCAAGTGGGCAGTGGGGGTGACACGCGTGGGCTGACCACAGGCCAGGCTTGTATCTGAAGGCAAAGTGATGGTCTTTGATGCCAGAAGGATTTAAGATGTAGTATCCAGTCACTCTGGAGGACTAAAGAGAAGGCCAGCAGCCCAAGTGTTGGGGCCCCCAGAAGCACACCGCTTGGCAGGGATGGTGAGTTAGCTACACAGCCCCATAGTGAGTCATGAAGGAGTGAGGAGGTCAAGGGCCCCTGTCTAGGAATCGGAGAGCCTGGACAAGTTGCCCAACCAGTCAGTCTTCCTGGATGTGTGGGGGACATTTGGGGACACCACCCTGTAAACCTGGGAGGGAAAGCTGGAGGAGCAGGACAGGTGGGGAGGGTGCTTACTTACATTCTGGCCCCAAAGTGCTGGCTGAGCATGGGAAGAGGCAATGAATGTGCTGCTGGTCCTCTGGGAACATTGGTGACAGGGGGGCCCCAGGACCTGAGAACAGCATTGCCCAATGGAACTTTCTGCAGTGATGAGAATGGTCTTTCTCTGCATCGTCCGCTGTGGTAGCCACTGGCCACTTGTGGCTGGCAAGCAGCCACAGTGTGGCCAGTGGGACCGTGGCACTGAATTTTTCATGGCATTTCATTTTAATTAAGTTAAATGTAAGTAGCCACGTGGGTCTAGGGACTTTGGGCCTGGGCAGCACAGCTATGGGCCGTCCACTGGAAAGAAGTTCTAAAAGCCAGTCTGGTTCCTCCCTGGCTCATTTTTCTCGGCAGCTCCAAGGAGCTCCCGTGCTGCCTTTCCTTTAGTGACAGGTGGTGGGGAGCATGCGTGCTTGTGTGAGCCTGAGCCTCGGAGGCTGCGGCAACCAGCACAGCAGCCCCATCACCGGGAGGCGTGCTTCCAGCACATTCTGAGTCACGCCTCTCCTGGTGAGGGGCACACTCCCGGTGACAGCCTGTCTCCCGCGGAGGAGCCGACAGGCTCCGCTTTCCCAGGCCGGAGAACCCCGGGCGTCTGCGGTCGTCTCTGCCGTGGGAGCAGTTGCCGGAGAGATGGCGGATGTTGCCCAGGTAACGTCCCCTCCCTGACGAGCAGAGGGTGAGGACTGCAATGGAGTGACTGGCTCTGCCACACAGGAGGCAAGAGGCTCTTCCTGCTGGCTCTGTTGTTTCGGGAACTGGTGGGGCTTAGTCACGGATGCCAGGAGTCCTCCTAAGTTCCACCTGCTCTGGATCACTCACTTCTAGGACGTGGTAGGTGACAAGAATGAGAGCTGCTGGTTAGCCAGCGGTGGGGCTAGGTGCTTTATAGATGTTATCTCATGGAAGAGCCGCGGAAGCCTTGGGCAGTAGTCAGTCCGACCCCACATTGCAGATGAGGCAACTAGGTACAAGGAATAGACCGTGAGTTCCACGAGCACTTGGGGCCTGTCTGCTTTGCTCACTGTGGAGATCCTTAGTGCCAAACACAGGGCTTGGCACATTGTAGGAGATGGGTCCTGGTAATTTTTGTTGAATGGTTGGATAGATGATGGAAGGAGGGATGGATGGATGGGTGGATGCACAGGTGGATGGATGGGTGGACAGGTGGACAGTGGATGGATGAAGCGGAGCTTAGATTTGAACTGAAGTCTGCTGTTGCAAACCTGTGCTCTTGGCCACTAAGCAACACCAGCTCTGGTTTTGTCTCATGTCCTCCTCTGCCTGCCTAGGTTGGGATTTTTTCTTAAACACTTCAATTGGAGTATAATTTACACACCTTAAAACCCACCAATTGTAAGTGTATGATTCAGTGACTGTAGTAAATTCATGGAGTGGTACAACCATTACCACAATCGTGGTTTTTTTTTTAATTTTTTGAGAGAGGGAGAGAGAATGAGAGAGAGAGCACGAGAAGGGGGAGGGTCCGAGGGAGAAGCAGACTCCCCGCCGAGCAGGGAGCCCGACGCGGGACTCGATCCCGGGACTCCAGGATCATGACCTGAGCCGAAGGCAGTCGCTTAACCAACTGAGCCACCCAGGCGCCCCACAATCATGTGTTAGAATATTTCCATCATCCCAAAAGATGCCCTCCTGTCTGTCTGCGGTCTGGTCCCTGTTGCTACCCCCTCCCCGCACCAGCCCCAGGCAATGACTGTTCCGCTTTCTGTCTTTATAAATTTGCCTTTTTAGACATTTCGTAGAGAAGGAATCCTACAAGATAGGTTTTGCTCCTGGCTTCTTTGACTTAGCTCACATTTATAAGGTTTGTCCATATTGTAGCATGTATGAATAAATCCACCCTTTTTACTGCAAATACTAGTCCATTGTCTGGATAGACCACATTTTGCTTACCTGTTCACCAGGTGACGGACATGTGGGTTGTTTCTAGTTTGAGACTGTTGTGAATAATGCTGCAGACATTCATGTCCATGTCTCTGTGTAGAGTCTGTTTTTCTTTCTCTTGGGCAGATTTCTAAGAACAGAACTGCTGGGTCGTATGATAAATGTATGCTTCATGCTTTAAGTAACCATCGAACTGTTCTCCAGTGGCACTGTGCTCCTGCACGATGCCATCACCAGCGTGTAGGATCCCAGCCTCCGTGTCCTCGCCAACACTCGGGGTCGTCTTTTTGGTTATAGCCTGCCTGGTGGGGGTGAAGTGGTGTCTCTCCATGGTTTGAATCAGTATCTCCCTGGCGGCTCGCCATGTTGAGCAGCTTTCTGCCCACTTACTCCTAGACTCTTTGCCCTGAAAAGCCAGGGGTTGGCAAGCTTTTTCTCTAAAAGGACCAAATATTTGGGGTTTGCGGGCCACACCGGATTTCTGTCCCATGTTCTTTGGGGTTTTTTGCTTCACAACCCCTAAGAACATTCTGGGCTTCCTTGCACAAAATGAAGCCAGGGGCTGGATTTGGTGGCCTGCCACACTTCACCGACTCCTGCTTTAAGCCCCTCACGGAGAATTCCAGGGCCCCTGCTGAAAGAATCTGGTGGCCCATGGAGCCCACGCTGAACATGGCAAGAGGTCACCCACCCCTCCTGGTGAAGGGGCTCAGGGAGAGGACGATCCTGCAAAGCCAAAGGGTCAGGTTCCAGAGGTGTCTCCATCCCGCCCCACAGTGATTCAACACCCGATGAGCTCATCACAGTTCCTGGGATGAAACCTAATCATTTGTCACCCAAGACGGAGTGAGTGGGTCCCTGTGGGTCCTGGGCAGGCCTCCCTCTGCCCTGTCCCAGACCTTAGCACCTCTTGTGGGGCCCAGCAGCCTGTCCTCCCCACCCCCACCTTGATTTCAGAGCCCTGCTGTCCACCTGCAGTTTGTACTGGTACCTCCCGCAGCCCCTCCACCCCCTGGTGCCTGGCTTCCAGCTCTCCAAGCCCCCGTGGACTTGTCCTGGCTCTCACCGTATGCCCCCAAGCTTTCTCGACCCCCTTCATCGCTGTGTCTCTTGGCAAATCTATCCCTCCTCTTCGCTGTCTGCCCTGGCCCTGACAGATGTGATAGAGAAACACCTTTGGAATTAACCAGAGCCGATTCTGACTCCTGAATTGTCGCTTTCTAGCTGTGTGACCTTGGGCGAGTCATGCCACCTCTCTGGCCGTGAGAGTCCTGTATATAAAAGGGACACTAGAGTCCTGTAGCAGACGTTGCAGATGAGCCCCTCAACCACTCCGCTCGGAAGGCTGCTCACTGGGACCGCATGTGACCGCCTGGGGCCATGTTCTTTTCTGGCTGTGGGAGCCCTTTGTCCTCGGCACAGGGCAGCTGCAAGTAGGGCAGTGTCCGGGGAGTTGGTGGGTAAATGCTACAGCTTCCTCGCTCCCTGGGTGGGGGGCAGGGGGGCACGGTCTCCTCGAGTCCCCACAGGACTCACAGCCGGCCCCACAGTGGCCCAGTCATAATACTTGGCGGTGCCCCGTTAATGATTGCCTTCTCCTCCCCACCCTGCACTGATGTGTCCTACAATGCCTTGCAAATAAAGAAACCGTTTGCACTCGGGTTCTTGTCTTAGGGCCTGCTCTGGGGGCTGCTTAGCCCGTGGCAGGTCCCCATCTCCAGGAGTACTATGAGGTTGCAGTGAGATGATGCCCAGAAGTGCTCAGCGCAGTGCCTGGTGCGTAGTATGTGCTCTTTATGCATTGGCCCTTGTCACAAGCCCTGGGACCTTCTGGATTTGAATGCACCCACAGGTCCTGGGGAGGCCCATTAAGCAAGGGCTAGGGTGCTCGCAAGAGAGCTGTTGTCCTTCCCCTGTAAGGAGGGGTGTATCGGTGAGCGCTGAGGCTAATGCTGCCCAGTGAGCCCTTTTGCCTGGACCTTGCTGCCTCAGAGTCTCAGGGATGTCTGAGTGTGGAGAGCTTCGGACAGCACTCAATGCCCCTCCCCTCCCCGTATCCCCCCCCCCACACACACACAACACGCTGGCTCTATTTGGCGAAGTTTCAGTGAGGGTTGGGTGGAACAGTGTTCACCAAAGATTAATGATCGCTTTTTCTAGGTTGTGGGATTTTTGAGGCCTTTTTTCACTTACCCTCTTCTTTGTGCTTTTCCAGCATGGTTTAAATGTCTTAAAATGAACAGGCATCATTTTCACAAAAAGAATGAAGTCATTATTCTTTCAAAGGTAAATAACTTGCTGCTGGTCAGAAGATAGGGCCCTTATGGCTCAGACCGTTTCCAACTCTCGACTCCACTGTGGGAAGACATGGATATGAATCGTGTGGTTTTCTTTGGGGCTTAATATATGGCGAGTTTCTGTGACCATTTCGCGGTCATTTAAAAATAAAGCAATTCTCTGGGTATAGAGCAAAACCACTGTGTCCAGGACTCAAAGGAGCATTCACCTTCAGGGATGGGAAGTGTCTCCATGGTGTTAGACTTTGGGCACTCTGTGTTTGCACAGGCCAGGCAGTGCGGAGGTGGCTGTCTCCTGGCTGACGGTGACTGGGACCGGGGCCTCAGGGAACTGGGGCGTCTTGTCATGAAAGTCATGGGGCTCAACAAACCCTCATAGTCACCATCATCCCCCCCCTCCCGACCGTGTATTCACTGTTCACTAAATACCCTCTCCTGACACAGCTCCCCATGCGTATCTTCCAGTCCTTACAGGATCTAAAATGATTGACAAGTCATGTCCCCCACCTGAAGAAAATGATGCTGTCCGATTCCCCCACTTGTTTCTTTTCCCTGCTGCCCCTCCAAGAGGACTTGTCTCCTAGTTCTTGATGAGGGATGGTGACTGGCAGAGCACAGCCAGACCAAGAGGGAGAATGAAGAGGCTGTCCTGGGCAGGCAGGCTAGCCAGCAGGTGCAAGAATGCTGGGGGAGTGGGGGGACAAGCTACATTGATTTACACAAGAAAGATCGGGGATTTGCGGTGCCTGGTTGACTCAGTCGGTTAAGTGTCTGCCTTCAGCTCAGGTCGTGATCTCACCCCCCACCCCCGCCTTCGAGTCCCGGGATCCAGCCCCACGTGGGGCTCGGAGCCTGCTTCTCCCTCTCCCTCTGCCCCTCCCCCCCCCAGCCGGTGCTCATTCTCTTAAATAAATAAACATTTAAAAAGATCTGGGACGATGAGGGGAAGCAGACTTTGTTGTGAGTTAGCTATGTGGGTGATGGTGGTGATGATGGGGCATGATTAGCAAGTGAGAGACTCTGGAAAATCATGGAGTTTGGGAACAAACGGGAGAAAGAAAGTGGGATCCTATTTGCATTGCTGTGGGTTGTCCGTTTCACCCTCGTGAAGTTTCTCTAAAGAGACAGGTTAAGAATCCGGGTTCCCTTTTCGTTGCCAGTCTCTATTCTGTTTGGCCTCTGCCTTCGAATGTGACTCCGTACAGAGAGTGGGCCACATGGGTCCAGAATTTATGAAGATCACACCCTGAAAGAGGCTGCAGAGTAATTTCATGCCTAATTTGCAGAAGAGGAAACTGAGGCTCAGTAGGTGATATGCTTTATGGTAAGAACTAGGCCTCCAGTCTATCTTGTGTTCCACTGCGAGGCCTCACTCAGCACAGTTAACTACTCAGGTTGATAAGGCATAGGTTCCCCCAGATACTTCCCTGAAGGCCCTGGGTTCCAAGACCACTTTGCAATTCCAAACTCAGAAACTAAATGATCAGGAGAGCCCTGGCAGCCTCGGGGCCAGGGGGGCACCCTGACCTCCTCCCTCCCACTGCCTCATTCAGACTCTGGCTCAGAGATTGCGACTTGTCACCCCAGCTGGCTGCTGGCTCGGTGACACTAAACTTAGGTTTTCCCCAGGGAGCAGAGCACTTAATGAAGGAGTTCATCCAGCGGGAGACTCCCAAGCGAGCCAGGGCGGCAGAGCCAGCTGCAGAGCTGGGAGGGGGTTTGGCTGGGACCTCCGCCTGCCAAGGGTTGCTGTTTCCATGATGTCAGAGAGGCGGAACTCTGCCTCACATCACGGGAGACAACACCCCTCTCCCCAGGGCTGTCTGGCTTTGGACGTGGCCCTGAGCAAAGGTGAGAAAGCTCATCTTACTCACCAGGAGGAAACTGAGGACTGCCTTCACGTTTCTTGGGGGCCTCTGGGCTTGTCAGCACCTGGCCGGAGTTGAATTCCTGGCCCCAAGCCTTTCTGTCCCTTTTTTTAGCTGGACTCCACTCTCCAGGGGGACCTCTTAGGACCGGGATGAGAGAAACCGTGCCTCCAGCTCAAAGAAGGTCCCTCTGTGCACCCTGGAATGCACCCGCTCTGGCTGCGTGTGAATACTTAGGGAGTACGTTTGGCAGATGTGATCTGAAAGAGAAACCGCTTCATTCTTTTTTTTTTTTTTTTTAAGTCATTGGAAGCAGTGTGAAGACTTCTCGGCTAGTGTCTGGGAGGCCTGGTTGGACTTTGCCTTTCTCTGGGAGTCCGTTTCTTACAGGGTGGTCCACGCCGACAGTTTCTCGGGGCCTTACACATCCTATTGCATCTGTTTCTCTGATCATCTTGCGTCTTCCGCCCTCAGCGTGTCAATAACATGTTCGTGTCTCCTTCTCTCTCCCGACCAGAAAAAGATTTACAAATATAAGAAAGTCCTGAGTAACCCAAGCCGTTGGGAAGTTGTGTTGAAGGAGATCCGAACTCTGGTGGACATGGCCCTGACATCCCCCCTGCAGGATGACTCCATCAACCAAGCCCCACTGGAAATTGTCTCAAAACTGCTCTCAGAGGTAAGACATTCCTCCTGCTTGATTTTGTACACCCCCCACCCCTGCCTTCAAGCTTTTTTTCCTTTCCTTCGGCTGAGCACAACGCCGTACCTGGCGGCAGAGCTGGACCCGAGTTTGTGCCGTCTCCCCATTGCCCAAGGAGGTGAACGGTGTCCCCCAGCCTGAGGGAGCCCAGCAGGAGGTTTGTCCCCAGTGCCTGCAGCCGAGCACCCCGAGGGTGGGGCAGGGGTGAAGGGACAGTTGTTGCTGCCCTGCCAGGCCCCCCCCAAACATGGGGGACTGGTCTTGGGCCTGAGGCTGGGCGGGTAGAGATGATGGTGGCAGCAAATTTCAGAATTTTCCAGTTCATCCCTGAGCCAGAGCACGTCGGTCAAGCCCCCAGAGCGCGCTTCCTCCCTGCCCCTCGGCGTGGGGGCCGGCCGTCCCTGCCCGTCTCCGTCCTCCCCCTGCCCTGGCCTGCATCAGCTCCAGGGGCCCAGGCAGCCGGGGGCCGGCCGTCCCTGCCCGTCTCCGTCCTCCCCCTGCCCTGGCCTGCATCAGCTCCAGGGGCCCAGGCAGCGATGGCTGTCTGCCCCCACCACCCGCCCAGCAGCAGAAATTCCGGCAGCAGCCCGCAGCCAGCACAGCTCGGCTTTGCCAGGCTGCCCCACACTAGGGCGTGTGCCGTGCAGGACACTGTCCTGGGCATGGGGACGAAGACAAGCCCCTGTCCTCCTGGAGCCCACGTTCCCCCAGGGGGACAGACAGAGCAAGGGCCTCAATCAGTGTCGGTCCTGCTGTTTTTCGTGGGGAGGTGACGGCTGCTTGGAAATGCACTGTTTACTCTGCCCCAACCATCTTGTCAGCGCTTCCCAAATACTAACACTTGTCTCGTTTGTTTGCCTGCCTGGCCCCCTGGAGACCTGGTGTTGATGACTCCTGATTTAAACCCCGCATGGCCACCAGAGTGATGCTTCTGTCCCCCTCCCCTGGGATGGGCCCCTGCTCTCCTGGCATGCCCGGTTCCCTGAGTAGCTTCTAGATGCCCCCTCTGAGCCTGCACAAGCTCCTTGCTGCCTAGAACCACCCCTTCCTCTGTGGACCCAGGCTGGTTGCTGCCGGTCAGTCCAGGAAACTGGCCCAGGCCTTCCACGTCTGCTGAATAGAGGGTCCCTTGCCCTGGAAGCAAGTGGGGGCAAGAAGTAGAAGATAGGCAGTAAAGACTGTCGCAGGTAGGGGAGCAGAGACCATGCCCTCGGGTGTGAGACAGGTTCATTTCACAGAAGAGCAAAGACTCCGGCTCTGAAATGAATCACAGTCAAGGTCTGGAATTTGAGACCAGGCCAGGTGCTGTGTACCCAACGTTCCCTCCTGGCTTCCCAGCCCCAGCCCAGGCTGGCTGCTCACCATCAGTAAGCACCTGCCATGTGCCAATAGGTGTCAGGTGCCGTGCACACAACGTCTCAGGTACTACATCTGCCCTAGAGAGCTGGGCCTTGCTGTCTCCATTATACAGTCGAGGAAATTGAGGCCCCGAGACACTGAGCAACCTGCTGAGCAAGCAGTGGGGCTGGAATTTCCACCTTAGGGCTCCCTCCCTCTCACTGCAAGGCCACATCGCCCACCCCTTCTGCTCCACCAGTCCCCACCCCACCGCCACACCATTAGTAGATCAGGCTCGCTGTCAGGACGACGGGGAAGGCGGCAGGTGGGCTTTACCGCCAGCTTCTGGCAACATTTGTTTCTATCTTACATGTTTCATAGACCACGTGCCCCTGGGCCTTTGCATCACCTGTGGGGCCAAGGTTTTAAAAATCATCTGACCCCCAAGCACTAGGGTGGAAAGAGAAAGGCATTTAAAGGGAAAAGAGAAAAGGAAGAAACTTGCATCTGCTGTGTACCTACCGTGTGACAGGCAAGGGGTCATTATTATTCACTTTGACAGACAGGTGCTGCTATTTGGTAAGGGACAGAGCTGGGACTGCAGCCCAGGCAGCAGCCTTTCTGAGTGACATGTTTTTTGAGTACATACTCTGTGACCACTGCTTTGGCAGGCACTTAGAGCTGATAGTTTACATTTCTCCAGGAACCCTGCGAGGTAAGTCCTAAAATGTACAGATGAGTGAACAGAGGCTCAGAGAGGCTGTCACTTGCCTAAGTGGTGGGCCAGGATCCACGCCCAGGTCTGTCTTTTTGGAAAGCTCATGCTCTTATGCAGATGTAGCATAAATTGGTAGAGACTTTCTAGTGGGGCGGGGGGCGCCCCAGCTGTGTAGGACAGGATGGTTGAGAACAGGTGTTGTAGAAGCAGGAGGACCTGGTTCTACCCTTCAGGTGCTAACTGGCTGTGGACAATGTACTAGGTCTCTCAGTACCGTTTTCTTCTGTGAGTTGGGGCGAAGATGAGCACCCATTCCATAGAATTAAGGATCGGGTGCTCTAATACATACAAAGCGCCTGGCCCTGTGCCTGATTTACAGGGAGCATTTGATAAATGGTCACATTTTTGTTGTCATGGGAGATGGTTGTGATCTTGACCTTAAGCTCTCTCAGCTGAAGGGTCTAGGCGGATGGGTGGAAAAACAAACAGATCCTTCCTCCTCCTTGCCCTTTTTTGTCTAGAATATATGGGCTAGATTATTTGTTCTCTTTCCTCAGGTTGCTCCCGGGGTCTCCTTCTGGGAGGCTCCAGGTGTCCCCAAAGCAACCCGAAGGTGGGCAGGATCCCAAGGAAGGGAGCGAGGGAGGGGGAGGAGGGGGCTCTTGGTTCTGAGAAAGGACTGCCCATCCACTGGCCAAAAAAAGCCACATCCCTGACCCCCCGGGCCTTTGTTGAGTTGAGTAGATAGAGTAACCATTCAGTTTAGGGTTCCCACGTCCCCTGCGATGCACTGGCTGTTAGTGAGTGCTTTCCACCCAGGGTGGAAAATGGCCTTGGTGGAGAGAAGTGTCCCTGCAGAATGGCACAAGCTGCCACCAGAGACTGGGACAAAGGAACTGGCGTCTGTGCTTGCTCTTGGTGGACAGGTGCAGTGAGGACTGGGCTGGACCCTTCAGAGCTGCCCAGCGCAGCCTGAGAAATGGAACCGTCCCTTGCGTGGGCCGAGCACCAGAGCTCAGCAGTTAGAGATGCCCGTTGTGGCATCAGGACAGACAGTGGTCCACCCCCACCCCAACCTCTCTTCCCTGTGCTCCTGGGCCAGCAGCTCCTGGGGCTTAGGTAGCTCATCTGTCGATGGGAGAGTAGGAGAGCCACTGTAAGAAAGAAATGGGTGGGATGAGGATTACGAAGTGTACTCATGGCCTGAGGCGTAGTGAGCTTGCCGTCAGTCCTAAGGAAAGACCAAAGCTTTCCATCAGAAAAATTACTGATGTTTAATAATCTGCCACAAATGGGCTCCTTAAACGCTACCAATGTCCACTAAAAGAAAAAGCCTTTGGAATCCAAGAAACATCCTTCCACCTTCCACGTGTTCCTGGATTCTAAGCGCTGAGGGCCAGGCTGTCTGCATGGTGACTTGAGGACTTGAGGAGCACAGACACTGGTCCGGGTTCCGTGGCGGTCGTCCCGCCTCGGGCAGCCAGGCAGAAGCATGTTCACGGCCCCCTGGCTTAGCTTTTTGCTTCAGCTGGTTGTAAACTCCTTAGGTATCCTGATGCTCCTTACAGCCGATGCCAGGTGGTGAACAGGGTGGGGCTCTTTCTAGAACCCTAGAACGCTCGATCTTGCTAGTTCACTGTCCAGTGAGGCGGCACAAGACGAGGAGGCAGACGTGGCTCTGTTAAGAGATCTGAATAGAGACCGGTGAGAGCCTGTGCCCACCGAGACGAACAGACGCAACAGAGCACACCGTGAAACTAGCAGAGAAGACAGTAGTGACAGTTCCGGGGTTTTCCCACGATTTCTCGCTTCTCGTGTGTTCATTCCTTTCCTCAGTCATGTATTCACAGGATGGTGGTAACAGGCACCCACTGGGTAAGAAAATTCCAGATCGGGGAGAAAAAAAACCCTAAAAATGAAACAGATTTAATCCATTCAACTTACTATTCTTTCTGCAAGCTAATTGCTAGAATTCACATTTAACTAAAACATGTTTGGCTCACGGAACACCATCCTTCCCTGGGAACCCAGCTGGAGAACCACTGAAATAATGTATGTGAGGCGCCTAAAAGCCTGGCACACGGTCAAGATTCAAAAGTCTGTTTCTTTCCGTGTTTGCTGTGAACCTGCCTTCTGGCTTCCCAGTAGCGTCTGTATGACCAGCATGGAGCACAGGGTTAAGCCCTGTCTTCGTATCCTCTCACTGAAGCCTATGGAAGTTCCCTGTTTATGGAAGGAGAAACGGAGTCTCACCAAGGAGGAGTGACTGGTCCAAGGTCACATAACTCACAAGGGGTGAAACTGGGACTCGAAACTCAGTGTTCGTCCCCCCTGCCCCGGCCACCCCAAAGTCATACTTTTCTCCCTTCCTGGCCGAGCCTTGGAGGGTTTTTCTGATCTGCTTAATTAAGACGAAGCAATACCTGCACTCTGAGAGGCTGAAAGTGTTTTAAACTGTTTGGACCTTTGAGATGCAAACGTTCCATTTGATTAATATTGTGGTTTTTTTTGTTTTGTTTTGTCTTCCTCCTGAACTTTCCACTCAATCCCTTAGAACACAAACTTGACTACCCAGGAGCATGAGAACATCATTGTGGTAAGTCTCTCGAGATCCCTCTCCCTCTGTCCACCTCCCGGTGCCCACAGTTCTTGCCCCTGTCTGAGTGGTTTCTCGAAGAAACTGGTGTAATCCAGCAGCATGGCGACCTCACTCAGTCTTATCTCTTCTGTCAAGCCAGAGGTGTCTGCCTCCTGCCTTTGCACATTTCAGAGCCCCAGTTGATTGGGGGGGGGTACGTAATTATCAGTCTTTGGGGTTTGTAACAAATGTGTCTTCATTGCCTCCTCCTTCCTGAGTGTGCTGGGGGGAGTTGAAGGCAGATGGCAGAGAACATATAATTTATTCAGAGGCATAACCCTATTAGCTGAGAGGTGAACGGTCTCTTTCTTGCCCCAGGACATGTCTCCTAATTAATCCACGTATAGAACCTGGATTTAATTCTCTCTGGTACACAAAGTGAGGTCGTATTTTCTGGGACTTGACTATGATGTAAGCATCTTTGGGGTAAAATAGCTTCCTGGGTGATTTTAAGCTCTGAAATGTGACTCTCACTAGAGAGAAATGAGGTTGCAGCTACTGGGTGCCAAGCACTGTGCCATGTATTTGAATCCATAGGTAATGAAGACAGGCCCTGCTCCCAAGGGGTTTATCATCTATTGTAGGAAGACAGATGAGACCATGGCAAAAACAGGATGTAGCGTAGAGAGGAGAGTGATAAACTCACCTGGGAGAAAAAGCCATGGTGCTTCCTGGAGGCAATGATGTCTGAACTGGGTTTTGAAGGATCAATAGGAGTTCGCCAGATGGCAAAACAGAGTAAAGGCATTCCAGAGAGAGGAAACAAAACATACGTAGAGATGTAAAACAACGTGGTATATTCTGGAAGCTTCGGCATTGCTGGGGTGTAAAGTATAAGGACGTGGGAAATAGGGAGGCAGAACTTGAGATGGAAGTGAGAGGCAAAGCCTTATGTGCCCAGAAAGGACATTCACCTGCCCCAGCGGTCCTACGGCTACAGCCTTTGAAACAGGGGCAACATGCCAACTCCATGCCCCTCTGAGCCAAATGAAGATTTCGTAGGCCCACCCACTTGGTCCTGGCGAGCCCAGCCTGGAGATTCACCCTCCTCACCCCAGCTGGGTCTTGTGGGTACCAAAGGAGGTGGGTCCTAGGCTACTTATTATGGAGAGTAAAGGCAGCAGCTTCTGTGGAGTCCCGCCTACAGTGGCTGGCACACAGTAGGTGCTCAGTGAGAATTTGCTAAAAATATAAAAGTTTTTTTTTTTCTTCCCCTTGCTGCATCCTGACCACTCATTGCCTTCTCTTGCCAGAACAGGGAAATTGTCAACCTGGGTGCCCCCACTCACCACCACCACCTTTCTCTGGCATACCACTAATTAATAAATTCATTTAACAAACATTTGTTGACATGTAAGGACAATTATGTACCAAACACTAGTCTCTGTTCCACAGACCTAGAGCTGCTATTGAGAGATTTACTGTGTGCTAGAAGAACCTGGCAGGTCGGCAGGTAATCAGGGGTTGAGATTCGTTTGGAGTGTTAGGGGAGCACAGCGGGCAGATACCTAACATCCTCTGCCAGTGAGGGTGCTGGGAGGAGGATGACAGAGGGCTTGCAGGTGGAGGTGAGCAAACTGGATCTTAAAGGAGGGGTAGGAGTGCTCCAGGGAAGGGCAGTCCAGGGAGAGGGCCCAGCACGAGAAAGAGCAGTGAGACTGGCAGAGCAGGCGGGGACATGGGTACCAGGGAAGGAGTTGGCCTCTTCCTCTCCCTGCCGGCACCACCTTGTGGATCCACCCCCCTCCTCCCACTCTTCAACCCTGGAAGAAGGGTGAGGGCTTTGGACTGGGGATGAGCCTGGGAAAGGAATTTTGATCTGAGCGATCCAGGCTGCTTTTATGCAGCTAATTTGGTGAGGCTGACCCCTTAATTGGGCTGGGCTAAGCTCCCCTGCTCAACAGACGTGCCTGAGAACAGAGAAGAATTTGATCTGAGGTCTGCCCCTCAGCCCTGCATTTTACAGCCTCCCTTTCAGTGCTCTTGATTACCAGTGCCCTTATCATTACTGGGAAGCCGCCTTCCTGTCCAGAGATGACATTATCTGATTTGACCGGTTAGCAATTAGTCTTCTCCCAGCGGGGCTTGGTATGTTTTTAATGTGCTTGCTTTTCAGAAATACTTTCACAAGTAACTTGAGTTGGTTTTATGCGGCCCATCTGGGGTCGGGCATCTCTCTGTGCTGGTAACAGTTGGCACATCACTGGACGTGCATGGACCTGGAGCCCAGACCCCAGCTGCTGTCCCACGTGCTTGAAGCTCAATGTGAGCTCAAGTTTTGAGCCAGTGTAGACCCCGGGCCCACCCCTCACTAGCTGGGACCTTGGGCAAGTAATGGGAGAACTTTAGTTTTATTGTATTGAAAATATCTTTAAGATATTCTTTACAAATACTTTTGCAAGTATTCCATGAAAATAATTTCATTAGAAGGAAGGAAGGAAGAAAGAAAAGGATTTCACCCCATCCCACTGTCCTCTTCAGAGAAAGCCCCTGGCGGTTTTCAGGTAGTGACAACAAGCCACACGGATACGGTTGTGTTTTTATTTTTTGTTTTCAGCATTGATGATGCGTTGCTAGATGGGCTGTTCTGCGTTGGTTCTTTCATGTAACACGTCTTGGGGATGCTTTCAAGTCTCTTCGTGCCTACGTGCCCCACGGCTTCCAGCCTCAGTACCTGTGACATTTGGGGATGAATCATTGCTTCTGGGGGGCCGGTCCTGGGCATTGTAGATGTTGAGCAGCATCCCTGCCTCAACCCACTAGATGCCGGTAACCCTTCCCTGTCGTGATGATCAAAAATATGTCTCCAGATGTGCCAACATCCCCTGGGAGGCAGAGTCAACCCTAGGTGAGGACTGTTGGCCCACCGCATACATTCTACTGGCTCTAAAATATTTTTATTTAACCAGATGGCCATTCCGATCATTTTCAGCTAATATGACATATTAAGGCTCAGTCTTCTCATCTATGAAATGGGTATGGCAACAGTGCCTTTCTTACAGGGTTCCTGGGAAGGTTCAGTGAGCTAATGCACCTAACATGCCCAGCCAAGGACCAGGCTTATAGAAAGAGTCCACAGAATATAAGCTCTTTTTATTAATCATACCTTTTAAAATAATCATAATTCTGTGACCAGGGCAGGACTGGTAACCTCCCCTACCCTCTGTGTCTTCATCTGTACAAATGGGAATAGCTCCTGCTTGACCTCACAGAGTTGTCATGAGGATCAAATGAGATAATAGCATGGAAGCACAGAGCCGCCGCCTGACGCCCACCCTGGGCACTTAAATCCTTCCCACTCCTTTATTCCTTGACTCATTCTCGAGAAAGAGGGGCCTGACATGAGTGAAGGGGCTCAACCCTGCACGTGATCTACACCGTGCTGGACGGTGCTGCCCTAGACAGGTAAGACCCTGGGCCATTGGTCAGCCTGGTTGGCGGTGCTCCACGGCAGACCCTCAGTATCACTGACGTCCTCCTTCACAGAGGTGCATTCGCAGAAGTGAGGTCATCTTTTCCTGGCATCCAATGATGCTTCCTTTCCCTGATGGTCCCAAGCCTGGTGGAAGGCCTTGCTGAGAGGTCCCTACCCATATCCAAAGGCATCACTGCAGGGAACAGACCACCGAGACCTCTGAAATCGAACAGGCAGGGTCTGAGCCTGGAAGTCAGTGACGGGGAGAGCGTGTCCTCACAGAGCCCTCCTGGGAGTCGGGCAGAATCGCCACCCCTTGCCGCTGTGTCCAGTACTGCCCAAGACAGCCCCCCCCACCCCGCCCCGTGATGGTGGCAATGGGCTTATCCTGAGGCTGAGACTCCAAAGCTTCTACAGTTTTCTCTTATCAAATTCCCCCAACAACCCTGTGAGTCAGTCACTCTAGTTCTCCACATTTTATAGGCTAGAAGACTGATGCCCAGAGAGGTTGAGTTGCTCACTCAGGGTCACACAGCCTGGCAGTCTTGGTGCTGGGTCCTGGGTCTCCTTGTTGCTAATCTTGTGCTCAGTGTGCAAACAGGAACATGAGTGGACTTCACATAGGCATTAACCATCCAGTAACTAACATTTATGGAGAGCCGGCCCTATTTCAGACTTTATACCAAGGGTCCTCAATTCAGTGTAGTTTTGTCCCCCATGAGGCATTTGGCAATGTCTGGACACGTTTCTTTTCAATTGTTCAAATATTTTATTTGAATCTGAAGTTTAGCACAATCATTAAAACAGAAATTATGAAAGGGGAGGAAAAATCAAGAATCAGATGTCGTTCGGGCCATGGGAACCTTGTAGAGAAATGGCAGTGGGAACCAGTAAGAACTGTACAGCTAGCCTAAGAAGCCTTGGTGAGACATGAACTCAACGGGTGTTAGATATTCCAGCCTGCCTTAATATGAAATGAAGCGTGTCAGGAGGCTTTCTGATTGTCACAACTGGCTCAGGCTTGTGACTGACATCCAGTGGGTTGAGAACAAGGTCCCTGCTAAACGTCCCGCAGGCCTTCCCTCCCGTTCTTCTGGTGACTCTCTGCTCCGCTTCCCAGGTGGGAACTCGGGCGTTAAGAGAGAGGAAATAGCTTGTTCTAACAGGCTGTAGTAAGCGTCAGAACTAGAACTCGCACCCAGGACCCTGCCCCCAGTGCCTGGGCTTAGAACCATGATCCTGTCCTGCCCCGTAGTCCGGGCCTGTTGAACTGAGGGCGACGTGGATGGACGTCAGCAGGTTACGGAGCCCCTGTTGGTGTGCATTTGCCCGGAGGGCAGCCCCGAGCTTCTGTCAGCGTCTCAGTGGGTGCCATGAGCCCCCCGACCCCAGTAGGATTCATTTCTAGAGATTCCAGCTGACATTTGTTTGTGATCTTTCAGGCAATTGCTCCTTTGCTGGAAAACAACCATCCACCACCAGATCTCTGTGAATTCTTTTGCAAGGTATGGCATGACTGAAATGGGGCTGTATTTGCAGGAGGCAGCCTGCCTCCGTGTGTGCGTGCTGGGGGTTGGCTTTGCATAATTTGCTGAAAACCCAGGCTTCCCCGACCTGGGTCAGGGCCCCAGACAGAGCCAGAAGGCAAGTCAGGCAGCCTGTTCTTAGAGTTACCGCTGTCTTCTGCCAGACAGGTGATAAACAAGGCCCAGGGTCCAAACCAGTGGGTCAGCGAGGAGCATCCGGCTTTTCCTTGGAATATCTTGGTAGCTGTCTTGGGAGAAATTTGTAGCAGATTTTCTGGGTTCCTGACGTCAGAGCTGGTTTATTATTAGCCACGGCTCCTCTGAGCACCGGCTGGCCCACAGTGGGACACAGCCATGGGGCTTTTCCTGAACAGGGAAAACAGACAGGGGATGCCAGGTTAGCCGGGAGGAGCCACAGAGCAGCCCATCCTCTCCCTTGGACCCAGAGTCAGGCTTGCAGGGGGTTTACACGGAACGTGCCCAGGGCATGTCGGGTACCAGCCATCCCTCACTCTGAAAACACACTGCAGCGGTCAGGGGGCTGAACCAGCAGGCAATCCTGTTTTGTTCTTTGCTTGTGATTTTTTTTTTTTTTTTTTACTGTAATGATTTGATGTCCTTGGAGAGACGCAGGGTTTGCTGCTACCCCAGCGCTCTCTGCTCTAGCACCTGCTGACTCACTTCACTCATGCTCCTTCCCCCCCTGGCTCCTTCCACAGCCACATCCTGTCCTTGGCGGGGGGCGTGGACTACGTCCACCAGCGAGATGAGCACGTGGCCTGGCAAAGCAGGCACCTGGGAGGCCCGGTGGTTTCTGGAGGGAAGGGAACTGCCGTGCCCTACTGCCTCTGCACCCTGCTCAGAGAGCATGCTCTCTGTTTGTCAGAGGGCAGGAGCTTCAGAGATTACGGAGACAGGGTCGCGTTATCCCCTCTGGCCCAGTGTCTCCAGCAGGAGACCTTTTCTGGCAACCCACAGAGCAGAGGCTGGACCCAGCCTGCCGGCCCAAAGCACCCGGGTGTGTTCTCAGTGTGCGTGTCCGGGCACGTGGCAGTGTGTGCCTTCTGGGCCAAGCAGGGGAGCGTCTGGCTGAGTCTGCGCCCGTGTGTGTGCAAGAGCATGTCTGCACAGGCATCAGGCTTCGGTGCTGAATCGAGGCCCCCTCTTCCCTGGGCCTCAGTGAGGCTAAAGACAACTAGAACACGGGCCTTCTTGGACCCCAGCGCTGCCCCAAGCGGGGTGGGGTCACATATCCCAGCGCTTCATATCCTGCTCCCTTACCTATTACAGCAGGTCATCTCCTCTCTCAAGATTTTGTTCGATTTCATTCAAATCTGTTCCTTGTTCTCCTCTCAAGCTGTATGGTTTCTCCCAGATTCCATGGTTTTCAAACTCTTGTTCTTTTAAAACAGTGGACCTTCGTTCAAAGTAAATTATACCTGCGGGTTCCTGGTTTGAAAACTCATGATGTAGAAGAAACCATTCTTTTTGGCATTTCCTGATAGAACTCCAGTTGGTCCTGAAATAGAAGGCTGCCCTGTCCTTTGGAGGGAAGGGTCTGAGCCTAGGGGGCCCGTGAGCCTTCAGGCTGTTTTCCCTCTGGGGCGTCGGAGTCCCAACCTCAGTGCCCCACCCACCAGGCGGCCTGCCCAGAGAGGAGAGCTTGAGGGGGAACGAAGCAGCCCCCCCTGGGTCCACGCTGGGACACACTGGACACGCCTGGGCAGCCTCGCCTGCCAGATTTCAAAACCAGAACCCTAAGATCTGAGGAAAGCTTATTGATCTTGGATTTCCCAGGAAAGCCCTGATTTCTAATATCCCAAGTCCAGGGTCCTCATCCAGGGGTTAGAAACTCAGCACTTTCAGGCCCGGGCAGGTTATAAATATGTTCGCGTGGTGGGGTTTCCTCTGTTCCACCCGTAGGCCTTCAATTTCAGTTTGAAAAACAAAACATGCTGATGAAGTAAAGTACATCTGAGAGAGGCATTTGATGGCCTACAGACTGCTGCCAGCCTATCAAAGCCAACAGCTGAAAAGCCACAGAACTTTCAAGATTCTGGGGCCCAGACACTAAACCCCTGGCATTCTTGCACCCACTTTTCAAGAGACTCCTCTGTTAGACCGTGTCCTCTGATCCTCAGTGCTACAGTGTCGCTGGGGTAAATCAGGACATGTCCAAATGGACACCTGTCTGTACCATCTGATGAAAGCTCAGACTTTATTTATTATTTCTTTTTACAGATTTGATTTAATCTTCAGAGATTAGAGAGAGCAAGGGAGAGCATGTGCTGGGGGAGAGGCAGAGGGAGAGGGAGAAGCAGGCTTCCCGCCGAGCAGGGAGCCCAATGCGGGGCTTGATCCCAGGACCCTGGGATCATGACCTGAGCCGAAGGCAGACGCTTCACCGACGGAGCCACCCAGGAGCCCCACAGTCTCAGACTTTAAGAGCCACAGGCCACAGGCTTGTGGACCCTGCCAGGCTCGGTGCTGACCGTGCCCTTCTGTCTCCCCAGCACTGCAGAGAGCGGCCCCGGTCCATGGTGGTCATCGAAGTGTTCACTCCCGTGGTCCAGAGAATCCTCAAGCATAACATGGTGAGTTCCCCTGACGGCCCGACTGCAAAGCCAGTCTTTCACTTTTCCCCAGCCTTTCGCCATTCCCCAAAGATTTGGGGAACAGGGTTGGCTGGCCTGGCCTGACAGCCAGGGACTGGGGTTCGGATTCTGTTGAAATTGGGGTGTTCACGCAGCCTGTCCTCCTTGGCTCTATCTTCTTCTCTTAAGGCAACGGGAAGAATCCTTCTCACAGTAAAAATAACAAAAATGTGTGGCTGGGGGAGAAGAGAGAAGTTTCCCATGCGTAGAGTCACAAATGTCTACAGACACTCCACCCTCAAGGAGGGGGTGGTGCTCCTTACATCTTCAGTGGGGCCGTGCACACAGTGTCCTTCCAGAGGCACAGTATGGAAAAGGGGAGAAGAGTGACCGTATGATGGAGAAACCTAAAGTCACAGCCGCGGCCAGTGGGTCACGGTCAGCAGCCGCAGTCACGTGAGGGCCTGCACCCTGAGACGGTGTGATGAACAGGGCGCCATACCTCTCGGGGCTTCTTCTCTTAAACCCGCAGGCCCCGTCTAGTCCTGAGAGAAACATCAGTCCGGTCCCCGTTGAGGGACATTCCACAAAACACCTGACCAGCACTGCTCAAAACTGTCCAGGCCGTCGAGACCAAGAAAAGCCTAGAAACTGTCACAGCCCAGAGGAGCCTAAGGCGACAGGAGGACTAAATGTAGCGGGGTGTCCTGCATGGGATCCTGGAACTGCAAAAAGACATCAGGGGAAACAAAGGCAATCTGAATAGAATATAGGCTTGGCAGTGTGCATGGCCCCTTGGCGTTCTTATCTGCTAAACTGAGGCTTAGCAGAGTCCACTCACTGGCCCCAGGGGCCACACCTAGGAATGAGAATAACTAACATCTACTCATAGATATTTACTGAGCACCTTCTGAGAGCCAGACACAATGTGACACTCAAGCATGTCACATGTCATTTAACCCTTATGAAAGCCCGGGAGCCCCTTTCACAGGTGAGGTGTCTGGGACCCAGAAAGGCTCCATAGGTCACTCAGGGAACCGATGAGCAGCCCCGAGTGCTCGTGAGGGGTGCCGAGGAGCAGCCGTCAAACGTGAGGGCCAGTGTTCCAGTGTGCTCTACAGAGCCAGCCACCAACCTGGACTCAGGTCACCTGGGTGATATGGAGGCATCTCTGTAATTTCAGCACACGTTGGGGCACTGAGTCGGATGTGGGGTACCCACGACTGCTGCCTCCCTGCCCTGTCAAGATTCAGCATGTGAAGACCACTGTGTCTCCACACCAATGCCCTAGCCCCAATCCGGACAGAAGTGTATGACACGTGTCCTCTTATGCCCCAGCCACACTCATGGCAGACATCATCAATCGATTACAGCACTCTTCCTGCCGAGCCCAGAGAGAGCTTCCGAATCTGTCTCAACACAGCATTCCAGCAGCCACTCGTAATTGAATGGTGCTGGCGCCTTATGGGTTCTCTTTACCGCTGTCTGCCCTGGGCAGTCCCACACCATAATTGAATTGCTGCTTATTTCTGAGATCTTCCTTGATTTGAGATAAATACATTTCTGATTTTCACAACACAGTGGAGAGGAGAATACTCCATCCGGTTTTTTCTCCGGGACTAACAAAGAAGTTCCCCATGGTAGTGGTGGAGAGCGTGAATTTGTGCCCTAATTTGGGCTTTTATCGTTTCAGGGGCACTCTCTGGCTTCAGGCTTCTGAGAGGAAAAGATTTCTGATTGTTCACTTTAAAATCACTGTGGAGGTGGTGTGAGGTGAGGGTTGTACCCTTTCAGAGTCTAGAGCAGAGATTTCAGAGTTTCTTTTGCAAAGGACCTTCCTATCACAACTTACCAATGACAGAGCCAAACCCCCAGGGTATACGGTCTGGGCCCATGCTTCCTTGGGCACAGAAACATTTTTGCATATTCTGTGGTCATCAGTAGGCTGTTTAATAACGCTTCTTTTGGGACATCTGACTTCCGAGGGAAGAGAGTCCAGATTCAGGCCAGCCTCCCACGGCTTAACCATACAACATCTCCCTTATATTTGGTTAGTTTTATGGGCCTAGAGTGTTGACCATGTAATAATTTTCTGGAAAAAATTCAGAACAGCTACAGGGCAAATCCACAATTTATAGCATCTGTTATGGCCTGGCAGAGATCAGGGAGCTTCAGGCATGAATTCTCACTTGACGTTTAAAGAGCTCCCCAAGTGATCCTCAGCGTCTGGGGATACAATAAAGCTTCGTGTCGCTCTTTGCTCTTGGCATCTAATTACATGCCATGAACTCTGTTAGAAGAGAACTGTAGATAGGAGGGAGGGGGATTAGTCCCTTCCGCAGAAGGACAGATGCGTGTGAAGCAGTGATCGTGGCTTCTGTAGGCACAGGAAGCATGGCCGACCTTTGGTGTCACTCATTTCATGCTCCCTACAGCTTATTTCCCGGCCATGGGCCAGAGGCACTATTTTGAGCTGGGGCTCTCGGCTGGTGTGGGGAGTCTAGTCACTGGTTAATGGGTGTGCCTCGCCTGCCACCAGCTACACGACTGTCAGCATCACACGAGCCAAGTGGCTTCTCTTCACTGTGCGTGCAGCGTTTCTCGTTAAGGAGGCACTGGAACATTTGGGAGCTGGAGGAAATCATAGACCACAGAGGCGTTCTGGGACTTTAGAGCTTCCCTTATCCTCAGGGTGCATCTTTTGGCAAATGTATCACGTGTCCCATTTCATGGATGAGTACACTGAATCTTCGAGAAGAGTCTCAGAGAGTGTTACTCACAGGACTGAAATAAAAATTAGATACAAATGGAAGCAGTCCTCTAGAATGTTCTCCTGGAGATTCTAAACAGTTTGTTAAACTGTATTCTCAAGAGTGGCTGTGGTCCCTAGTGGACCACTGGGTGATCTGACCACCTACTTTCCAGGAGGAGCATTTTTAGCTTTTCCAAAGAGGTAAAATGTCCCTCACCCACACGTCAAAAGGCCATCAGACCCATCTCATAATGTTCATTTCCAAGAAAATTGATCTTGACTCTCCAGAAATCTAATAGCAAAGATAAGGACGGTTATCTTTAGCAGGGTTGAGTTGAAGCAGTTTTCATGGACTACTAAACCCTTAGAAGTGAAAGGGGGGCATAGAGATCCATGGTTACAGCCCTCACTCCACAACAGAGACAGTGAGGCCCCGAGAGGGCCACACAGCCTTCCTGTCACCTTTTTCCAAGGCACTAGAGGACTTGAGAGGTCTTCCTCAGTTTGGAAGCACAATCAAGTTTCAGTTTTCTCTTCAGGCAGGGGCCTTATCTAGCCCAGTGCTCTGTGTATGTGAGTGTGTGTGTTTGTGTGGGTGTGGATCTGTGCACACACATGCATGTATATTCCTTCTGAGCTTTCCCCGTGGCTTCTGCCTCCCTCCTTATGTAAGAGCATCAGCCTGGTAGGGAGAATGGAAGCAATGAGGCCCCTCATTGTCTTGAGGACTATAATTCAGCCTCTTTACTCCAGGTGAAGAAGCACCAAGCAGCTCTAGAAACTTGCTTCTGGGAGCAGGCAGGAGGGCGTGGGAGGGACGTGTTCTCCTCTGAGCTTTCTCCAGGGCCCGCAGAATCAGTTAGAGCCGTGAAGAAAGTCTCCGCTGTTTTATCTTAAATGAGAATGCCGATCCAATTGCTTTTTACTGAATGGGTTCCACTTAGTGGGGGCAGGAAGAGGGCAGATGAGTTTGGAGATGTGACTCTTCCCCCTGATGTCTGGCTGGTCACCCTCCTCACACACCACACCTCACGCCCCTCCTGACTGTTCACAACCCAGCCCACAGGTTTAGAAGTCCATGAATAGAACTGCTGTCCCAGCAGGCCTCACCCCTCCAGGCCCCTACCCGTGAATGTGGGAACGGACATAGGGTCCTTTCCTGGCTATCATGTCTCCTCTCCTGACAAGTCCCTGAGCCAGCAGCCACCAAGGAGATGTGCCTCTCCACTCAGCTGAACTCTGTCACCTGCCCCGTTGATGTGCTGTGTTGGGGAAGCGAAGAAAACAGAGGTGTCCAATGATGCCACTCATTGGAGCAGGGAGGAGTCCCTCTGTCCTTGCTCAGTGCCCCTTAGTTAGGCATCAACTGAGGTGAGATGCGGGGACTCAGGCCGAGCCGGTGGATGGAAACGTCCTCGCCCCTGGGGGCTGGGGCCTTCCCCTAACATTGAGCAGATTTACCCTCTCCTCCCTCCTGCCTGCGCCCCTTTCACACGGACCGCCAGACACATACCAGCCACTCACAGTCCAGGGCACACACCTCCATTCCCAGGCCATAAGCCTCACACACACATACATGATCTGTCTCTCACACACACCTCCTCCCGCACCGCATGTCTCTCTCACACACACACCTCCTCCCACAACCCAAATCTCTCTCTCTCACACACACACACACCTCCTCCCACACCCCACATCTCTCATACACACACCTCCTCCCACACCCCACGTCTCTCATACACACACCTCCTCCCACACCCTACGTCTCTCACACACACCCCCTCCCACACCCTATGTCTCTCACACACCTCCTCCCACACCCTACGTCTCTCACACACACCTCCTCCCGCACTGCATGTCTCTCACACACACCTCCCACATCCTATGTCTCTCACACACACCTCCTCCCGCACCCCATGTCTCTCATACACACATCTCCTCCCACACCCTACGTCTCTCACACACACCTCCCACATCCCATGTCTCTCACACACACCTCCTCCCACACCCCATGTGTCTCATACACACATACCTCCTCCCCCACCCCATGTCTCTCACACATACACACATATCTCCTCCCACACCCATCTCTCACACACACACTCTCACACCCCACCTCTCTCACACACACACACACACCTCCTCCCACACCCCACGTCCCTCACACACACACTCCCATACCCCATGTCTCTCATACACACACACATCTCCTCCCACGCCCCACATCTCTCACACACACACCTCCTCCCACACCCCATTTCTCTCACACATACACACATCTCCTCCCACACCCCACGTCCCTCACACACACACACTCCCATACCCCACGTCTCTCACACACACACCTCCCATACCCTACGTCTCTCACACATACCCTCCCACACCCCACATCTCTTACACACATACACACACACCCCCCTCCCACACTCCATGTCTCACACACACCTCCTCCCACACCCCACATCTCTCTCATACACACATACCTCCTCCAACACTCTACATCTCTCACATATAACCTCCCATATCCTACGTCTCTCACACACACCTCCTCCCACATCCTACGTCTCTCACACACGCCTCCCACACCCCAAATCTCTCACACACACCACCTCCCACAATCTACGTCTCTCACACACACCATCTCCCACACCCCATGTCTCTCATACACACACTTCCTCCCCCACCCCACGTCTCTCACACATAAACACGTATCTCTTCCCATACCCCACGTCTCTCACACACACACACTCCCATACCCCATGTCTCTCATACACACACACCTCCTTCCATACCCCACATCTCTCTCACACACACCTCCTCCCACACCCCATGTCTCTCATACATGCACACCTCCTCCCACACCCTATGTCTCTCACACATACCCTCCCACACCCCACATCTCTTACACACACATACACACACACCCCTCCTCCCACACTCCATGTCTCTCTCTCACACACACACACACACACACACACACACCTCCCACACCCCACATCTCTCACACACACACACACCTCCCACACCCCACATCTCTCACACACACACCATTACCTGTCCAGCCAGCCTTTTTCAAGCTTGTTCGTCAGTCTCATCTGCCTTTTTGATTCCATGTGCCATATGAGGGTAGCTTTTTCTACAACTAAAAGAACAAAGTCCTCAAATGCTCCTTAAGTATTTTCTGGAACCCAGTGGGTGGCTGGGGTCAGCCTAGAGCAGGAGGGAGCCATCTGAGGAGCCCATGACTGGGAACCAGCTTTACCCTGGGGCCATGTCTGGTTCTTATACCTCCTTCCTGCCCTCTTGCTCAGGAGAAGAAACAGGGCAGCCATCGAAGGGTGTAAGCAAGAGTGTGACGAGGCCAGGTTCTTGAAGTGAAAAACGTGGGCTTTCTAGAAAGAGGAGTCGCTGGTGTCTCCCCGTTGCCTTCCACACCAACAGCTGTGGGCAGAGCAGGGTCCCGTTGCCCCTTCTGGGAACCTGGCCTCCTCTGCAGCCTCTCTCAGCTTCTCCCTCTGCTCTCTCTGCAGGACTTTGGGAAGTGCCCACGACTGAGGCTGTTTACTCAGGAGTACATCCTCGCCTTGAACGAGCTCAACGCGGGGATGGAGGTGGTAAAGAAGTTCATTCAAAGGTGGGTTTCCCAGCTGGACCCCCTCCCCACCTTGTCTACCAGCCAACTCTCCTCTCCACCCCAGAACTACTCACGCCACTGATGCCCAGAGAGAAGTTGCTTGTATTCAAAGGCCCCAAGCATCTCATCTTCTAAGGGGGTCACCTGGGTCCTCCTGACCCCATGTGGTCTGAGACGCTTACAAGCTGTGTGACATTGAGCCAGTTGCTGTACCTCTCTGGTCCTGTTTACTCCACTGTCCACAGGGGTTGTTGCATAATTAAATAAGGTGATACATGAGGAAGCCCCTAGCACAGTACCTGACACACAGTAGGAACTCAGGAAATGGTACCAGTTCTAAATAATAGGATTGTTTCCATGGGTCCCACACCTTCCACACCTTTGGTTTACGAGTGCTGAGTGCGTCAGGGGATAGTGCCCCGCTGGTCCCAGAGGTTCGTCATGGGGAGGATTTGAACAACCACCTCCCAAACTTGGGCAAGAGGAAACCAGATCTTCTGGTTCTTACTCACTTCTGGTGTTTTGGAGGAGAGGGCTTGCTTTTTCTTTGATTTTAAAATTTTCTTCCTGTGTCTCTGTCTCCTTATCTGGAAAATGAGAACCATAGTACTTGCTTCATTCGGTTAATGCGCAGGTTTCAGTGAGCTAATATCCGTAAACACTAGGAACTGTGTCAGCACGATGCAGATGTCAACGATCACTGTCATGACTCTTCTCATTTTTTAAGAAAATCAAAAGAGCCGGTTTAAGCTGGTTTTGAAGCTTATGTGTTTCCTAAGTATACTCATCTAGAACTCACAAAGCATTTCTAAATCCCAAGGAAGTATCCCTCTGCTGGAGCCCTGGTGACTTCAGGGTCCCTTTAAAGTACCCAGTTATGGTTTTGTAAAATTTTTTCAGGTTAGGCCTCTCTTATCAGTGGCCACAGTGATTTTCCAGGAGTGTTACAGATATTATGCCCAGGCTCCAGACAGGCCTGGAGTAGCGGTATTGGCCTCCATTTTACAGATGAGAAAACTGAGGCACAGCGATAGCCATAATGAATAACAACAGCTGGCGTTCAGGGAGGACTTAGCAAATGTGTCCCAGGCCCTGTGCTGGGCCAGGGTGACCATAATCGTTTTTCTTTCAAGGCAGGCCACTTTTGAGACTAAAACGTGGTATTATGAATTATTATTCCAGAACCCCCAGGCATAAATATGACTGTCCCGGGATATATGACTACCGTATGCTAAGTCTTTCCGTGAATCAGAAAACTGGGTCGTTCTCCGAACCCACTGAGGAGGGCTCCACCCCCCCCACCCGCCTCCCTGCGTGGGCGCTGATTCTGCAGCGGCCTGCTCACCCTGTGCTCTGCTCTCTTCCAGCATGCACGGCCCCACGGGACACTGCCCCCACCCCCGGGTCCTGCCCAACCTGGTGGCCGTGTGCCTGGCTGCCATCTACTCCTGCTACGAAGAGTTCATCAACAGGTCAGCCCTGCTACCCCCAGGAGAGCCCGCTACCACCTCGGGATGGGGACTGCGAAGGGCCGAGTCACCAGGGAGGGCGGCTTGTACCTTGGCCAGGCCAGGCCGGTGGAGTGGCGTTTGCTGGGACTGCCCCCAGGGTGTTTGCCGAGCCCGTGTGCTCCCCGATTCCCGGCCCTGAACCTAGCGATGTTACTGGAAAAGCAAACACTGTGAATCAACACTGGGAACTGCGAGACTGTTGTGTTGCCTTGGCTTTAGGAGCAAGTGTTTGATGCTGAAGATTTCTCACCACCTGGTGCGTGTGACACATCGGGGCTTGTGTGAGAGAGAGCGTGCGTGCATGCAGGTGCAGGTGTGCGTGGGGGGTGAGTGTGCGTGTGCGTGCGTGTGCACAAGGGCTAGCAGGAGGTTTTCTCCCTTGTCTCCATCGGCAGAATTTCATTTTGCCCGTGGTGCGCATGGATTTCTTGAGCGCCTGTGTGCGTCAGGCACGGTTTCAGGTGCTACTGGGGGAGATGGCCTACGATACGCAGGATCGAGTCAGATGGGGAAAGCCTGAGAAAACAAGAAACTGGAACCATATGCTAGCGTGTGGCCAGAAAAGGGTATGGCAGGGTCACTGCCTTGGGTCCTCCAGGGTTTGGGGGCAAGCAGCTTATTAGGGACGTAACCTGAGGAAGCTCTGGGAGGGGACCCAAGAAGGGAGGACAGCCAGTAGGTCTGATGACCACGGCAGGCACCTGCACATTCCCCACTGGGACCCCCCCAGGAGACTGTGTGGAACATGTCTGAGCCATTCCCCTGAGGGATGATGGCGCTGGGGTAGTTACTTACCAGCTTCCATTCTTTCCTGAGGTTCACTCCTGGGATGCAGAGTGACGCAGTTGCCACTAGTCTGTGTAGAACTTTATACAGTGACCTCTGGGGTCATTAGAGAGGATGTGATGCGCACGACCAGGTAGCATCTGCTGTAGCTCTCCTGTCCAGTTGTTCCAGTGCTACACTGCACAACTCCCAGGGGACCAAAATGTGTGTAGCTAGAGCTACTGTCCTTAGAGAGAAGGTGGTGGAGCATTCTGACACGCAGAAAATCTGCACAAATGAAGCTTCTAAAATAAACACTGTACTTTGAGATCTTGGGGAAGGGGCCACAAAAGCTCAGTAAGGGCATATTTTCTCATGACAGGACTTGAGAAGGGAGGATGACTGTTTTCAATGTCCGTAGCCCTAGGTCCTGATATTCAACCGGGACCTCTCCGTTCTTAAATCATTTCCCTGTTCAGAAGGAGGTGATAGAACCCCTGGGGCCAGAACGTGAAGATGTCATGCAGGGCATTCATAAGCGCTTGTTCTGTGCCCTGCAGCATGTTATAGTAAAAGCAAAAGAAACAAAAAAGAAGCAGCAGCAGGTCAAAGGGTAGCACTTGGCTAGTACCACCATCCCGGCATCCCTGTGTGCAGGGACGGTCACTTGCCCTTGGCCTCCCACATTGCAGCTCCGGAGCCGGTCACCATGCATTTCTAACTCAGGCCACCCTAGGAAGCAGGGAAACCATTCGGACTGTCACACATTCTCAGGCTCCCTTTCCTGCCGAGGCCCGTGACTCATGTCGGCCTCCCAGGGCCCGCTCGGTGGATGCCTGGCCTGGGATTGGGAGGGGGCAGGAGCAGGAAACAGCACCTCCCAGAATTTTCCCTCTGTGTCCTCAAAGCCCTGCCCAAGTGCCCTGGAGCACGTTTTCCTGACTCAGGAGCAAGAAGCAGAAGAACTCTGGAAATCTCTCTCCCAGCACCCACCCCAGGAGAAGGGCAGAGGTGGAAAGGACCAGAATTAGGAACTGCGCACACTGTTGCACAGACAGGGGCCTGGGGACGGCAACAACCAGCTCTCGTCCTTCTCATCCTCTCAGCCCTCGTCTGATGACAGCTCATTATGTGCCAGGTGCCGAGGGCACAAAGGTGAACCAGTTAGATGGAGCCCTTGCCCTCCCAGAGCCGACAGGAGATGGAGGAGTAGCGAGGGAGCGTGGTCTGTGTCAGGGAGTTTCAACCTATCCATCACTTGGGAAGGGTTTACAAAATCAGAACATTAGCTAAGCACACATGTACCCTGTGACCCAGCTGCTCATAGCTTTGGGGACATTCATCAGAAGACACGTACAGGAATGTTCTAGCAGCGTTTTTTGTAACAGCCCCTAACTAAAATCTGCCTCCACTCCTACGACAGGAGAATGGATGGACAGTTGGGGTCTGTCCACACAAAGGCACGCTATAGAACAGCAAGAACGGATGAACGAGAGCAACAAACAATGAATAAATCTCACAAAGGCAAAACTGGGCAAAAGAAGCCAGACCCAAAAGATACATACAGTTGTGATTCTTTTTCCTGGGATTTCAGGAATAGGCAAAAGGAATGTGTGGTGGTGGGGGCCAGAAGGACGGCCACCTTTGGGGTGGGGCGTTAGGTGGAAGGGCATGAGAGAAGCCTCTGGGTTCCTAGAAACGTTTCCCATCTTGCTCTAGGTCAGTGGCGCTCAGCTGGGAGCAGTTTGGAGCCCCACAGGTGTTTGGCAATGTCTGGAGACCTTTTGGGTTACCATAGCCTGGGCGGGAGGAGGGGTGCTGCTGGCATCCAGCGGGGAGAAGTCGGAACTGCTGCTAAGCATGCTACCGTGTCCGGGCAGCCCCCTGCAGAGACTGATCCGGCCCCAAATGTCAGTAGTGCCGAGGTGCAGGAATCCTGATCTGGTGGCTGGGTGTCACACAAGTAAAAGTTTATGAAGCTTGGCACCTGAGTTTGATGCACTTGACTGTCTGGGGTGTGCTGGAGTCCTGCTGCATTTGGAAGTGCGTCACTTCCCAATTCCATAGTCCCTGACGGCTCCTTGATAGTTTGGGTTCAGTCGTGGTGGGCATATTCTCACCAAGGACACTGGCAAATGCTGCAGCCGGGGCTCCTTTTTTCTGGCGAGTTCTTGTTGCATCAGCATAAAACTGGTCATATCTTAAGGGGAAAAGGGGTGCCCAGGCCCCATCCACTGTAATTCGGATCTAATTGGGAGGGCCCTGGCATTGGGTTTTTGGTTTTGGTTTTGGGTTTTTTTGCTCTTGTTCTTTTTTCATTTTAAACTTCCCAGGCAAGTCGAGTGTGTGGCCAGAGTTGAGAACTCCTGCTCTGGGGGGAGGTGAGGGAGGGATCCTTCACAGAGGTGATATTTAAGTTGAGAGCTCCTGGCTCTTGGCAAGGCAAGAGGCAGGACAAGGTGATCTAGGCAGAGGAAATAGCACGTGCAAAGGCCCAGAGGTGCAGATGGAGTTGGCATTAGTCACCTTTTCCATCTCTGCTCCTTAAACACCTGCTTCAGAATCCCCAGGACTCGGCATTTCGCGGGTGGGCCCAGGAATTCTCGTTCTTTGCAGCATCCACAAGCGCTCTGCTCCTCGATAAAGGCCGCTGCAGGGGAGAAAGGGAGGGAAACAGTGTGAGAGCAGAGCGAGGGGAAGAGAAGCGAAGATGGAGTTGGGGAGGACAGCAGCCTGGCCAGGCCGTGGGGGACTAGTACAGCTGAGCAGCTCAAGCTTCCTGTGCTGAGCACATTCCGATTCAGCAGGGCTGGGCCGGGGCCTGAGACTCTGCTTGTCTTCCAGCCTCACAGGCGTGCTGGTGCTGCTGCCTGGGGACCACGCTTTGAGTGGCAGAGCTGGCTCTGTGTTTCAGTTGTGGAGTGTTTATTCTGAGAGCACAGGGGTCACCGATAGGTTTTAAGTAGACTAGGACGGAACTTGATGAGCTGTCAGTTTCCAAATTCCCCCCTGGCTTCTGCTACATGGAGGATGGACTGGAGGGGGGCAAGTGTGACCTTGAGCGGATTGCAACCAGGTGCCCAGGGTGGAGGCCTGGGGAAGGCGAGGCAGGTCCTGCTGCTTCCTGCATAGGCCTGTCCCAGCTCCCAGCTCAGAGCAGCGCAGCCCCCTTGGGAGCCCAGAGTAGTTTCCTGTTAGTTCCTCCAGGAAGTCATCGTAAGGGCTGCAATGCTGGGGGACCTTTGCCGGGCTCAAGTCCATCCCATCCTGGTGGTCAGTCCCTGGAAGATAAAGCCCCGTGTCCTCCGGGCCTGTCCACAGTGCTCTCAGTGGGTACATGATGTCCTCACAGGAAGAACAGACAACTTGACCCAGGTTAGCATAGCTCACTGGAAAATCACCCGATCTGAGCCAAACAGCCTTGAAAATCCACTCCTAAATCCCAGCAGAGGCAAACAAAGGGAAATGGAGTGTTGAGTATTTGGGTAGCAAATTAGCTCTGAACCCATGGAGATAGTTACACTCCCACCCCCGCCCCAACCTCACCCCAGACCACACACAATTTTCCATCAGCCGTTGAATTCTCGGACTTTAGTTGATGGGTTTTGTTCTCCCCCAGCAAAGTTTAAAGTGTAGTTATTAAACGTCTTTGGTGGGCTCAGCTGAGGCCTGGCTTGTGGCACATGCTGGAGAAATTCGGGCCCTCCAGGTGCATTGTACCCGAAATCTGTGCTCAACCCAGTCCTTGTGCACAAGGACTGTGTACATCTCTTTGCAAGCACAGGGCACATGTGTGTGGCACATTTAGGGAGGGCCTGGATCAGCAGCTGTTTGTGATCATGCTATCATGCTCAGAGTCTCTTGGAGCAGTGGACTCAACCTTGACCGCACACACAGGGAGCCCGGAAAGTTACTGGTATCTGGACCCCAACCCAGAGATTCTAATCAAATTGGGCTTCAGGATGTTCAGAAGTGCCCGCAAGGGGTAGTAGTATCCAGCCAGGGGTGGAAAGCTCTAGTTCAGGGGTAGAAGTGTGAAGGTGGCAAGTGGAAGAAATCAGGGAAGACTTCTTGGAGGAGGAGGATCTGCACAGGACCACTGGGGTGGTGAAGAGCCAGGGCTTTGTAGTCAGAGACCTGATTTCAAATCCCAGCCACCTCCACTTATAAGCCATGTTATCAAGGGTAGGACATTTGACCTCTGAGAGTGTCTGCTCACTGATAACATGGTGATGGTAATACTGGCCTTCCCGAGAGGTCTCAGAATATCTGTGAGGTCTGTGATAGCCCTCAGTGCTGTGCCACGCCGGAACACCAACAAAGGAAACCCATTTCTGGGATTGCCTTCACTCTAATGAGCCGCCCACTGAGTGAGGAGGTGCTTTAGCCAGCCTCAAGGCTCTGACAAGTCCTGCGATATAGAGGCCTAATTTCAGTGTGTTTGGCCCAGCATTTCCCACACAGATGTGACATCAGGGATGCCGTGGAGCCCTTTTCTCAGCGAACCCCTGTTACCAAGCATCGTCCTCCAGGTGGTTGGAGATGCTGTACCTGGGGGTTCAGCCAAGAGCAGGGGTGGCCCGGAGGGACCCGCAGACTGCAGGAGGCTAGAATTCTGGGGTTTGGGATCCCTTTGAAGTGGGCTTCCAGGTGGAGACTAGATGCTGAGCTTTCTCACCTGGCCAGGGATGGGGCAGTAGAGGTGAGGCCTGGGCCCCCCCCCCCCAGGGGGAAAAAGGGGCAGCTAGACTCCAGGACGCAACTAGAAGCGAAGGCACTTAGTAGGTCTCATAGATGGCCAGGGAGGGCCTTGTGGTGGAGGTGACGGCCACGGCCTCGTGGGTATCACGTAGAGATTAACGTTCACTCCCCCATTCATCAGATGTGTGTCAAACGCCTTCTGTGCGCTGGGATTTCAGCCGGAGCTTCAGTGACAGACACTTAGGGGTGGACGCCACCTCCGCCTGGCCCCGTCTGGAGACCCGGAGCAACCCAGTCTCCCGGCCTGAGCCTCAGTTTCCTCCCTCGTGGGGTGGGATAGGACACCACTGGCTCGCGGCACCACCACCCGCTTCAGGGTGTGTGACGGCTCAGGCCGGTGCGGGCGGCCCTGCTCACGCGCCCCCTCCGCTCTCCCGGCAGCCGCGACAACTCCCCCAGCCTGAAGGAGATCCGGAACGGCTGCCAGCAGCCCTGCGACCGGAAGCCCACCTTACCTCTGCGCCTTCTGCACCCCAGCCCGGACCTGGTGTCTCAGGAAGCCACGCTGTCCGAGGCGCGGCTCAAGTCGGTGGTCGTGGCCTCCAGCGAGATCCACGTGGAGGTGGAGCATACCAGCACTGCAAAGCCAGCGCTCACGGCCAGCACGGGCAACGACAGCGAGCCCAACCTCATCGACTGCCTCATGGTCAGCCCTGCCTGCAGCACCATGAGCATCGAGCTGGGCCCCCAGGCCGACCGCACCCTCGGCTGCTACGTGGAAATCCTCAAGCTGCTGTGAGTGTCCCCTCTGCGGGCCTGTCACCAGTGGGGCGGGAGAGGGGGACTCGGTGGGCATGCTGAGCATGTGTGCACACGTGTGTAAGCGCGCACACTTGAGGTGTGCGTAAATGCGACTGGGTGCCCAGGACGCAGATGCGGGGCGTGCGGGCACACGTTTAGGGTGTGTATGTCTGTGAACATAAGCTCTGTGCGTGATTGTGTGCGCACACGTGGGGGTGCACACAGGACTGTTGGTGTTCGTGTCTGCTTATCTGGGCACACGCGCAGGGTGTGTGCATGAGCCTGACGTATATAGCTGTGTCCGTGAGGTTGAGCATGTGTGTGTACGTGTCTGCATCCAGCTGCCAGGATGGCCGTGAGCCCACGGGCGCCCAGGTGTGTCTGTGAGTGTGTGAATGTCTTTATATTTTGCGGGGGGGGCGGCCCATTCTGAGTTTGTGAGTGCATATGTGTGTTCAAGCGACTTTGGCTCCGTGCAGCTGTGACAACACGTGTGTGTTGCCTGAGCGTGTGTGTGTGTGTGTCTGCATTTGGAGGTGGATGTGGATTTTTCTGATGGGGCCTATGTGTGTTTTGAATGCCTGTGTGTGTGTGTGTGTGCACAAGTGTGAGTGTGTCTGGGTGCTTTGTGCTGCTTTGTGCATGAGCAGCTGTGAGTGCGCATGTGTGGCTCTGAGCGTTTGTGCACAAAACTTGGAGCGCGTGCGTGTTTCTCTGTGTGTATGTGTGTAGATGTGCACACGAGCCAGCACGTGACTGTGTTTCTGTGTCATGTCGCCTGCATGCTCTGTGTGTATTCCTCTGTGTCCCAGTGGGCAGGGACGGAGTGTGGCGTGCAGAAGCTGGCACTTCCAGGCGCAGTCAGTGGTGGCTGGGGGGCTTTTCAGAGGGATTGTGCGCGCGACTGTGTGGTCCCCTCTAACCAGTGCAAGGTGCCTGTCTGATGACCGGGCACCAGGGCCCCTCGATGCAGGGCGATGCCTGGTTCCCGGGGCTGGTCCGTGTTGCCGGGCCTTCGCCGAGTCCCGCTTGTTGCCCGGCTCTGCGGCTTCTGCTCTGCCTCTCTCGTGAACCTGTGGTTGCCCAGAGTGCGCTCGTGGGCTGCAGGGTGGAGGCATGTGTCGGCTGCCTGGTGAGCGGCTGACCTGGACTTGGGAGGTGCCCGGGGGTGTCCCACGTGCTGGAAAGCCGAGGCCTGTGGTACATACGTGCACACGTACTCGCACATACACACACACTCCCGTAGGCACCCACGTCGTGCAGCGACTTCTTGTGGCTTGAGAGTGCAGCAACCCCAGACACTTCCTCTGTCCTTGCTTTGGCCCCTGAGAGGGGAGGGTGAGGCCTCCCCAGGGTCAGCTGCAGCCTCGCCCACAGTTCTGGCAGCAGAGGCCAGCCGAGGGCACAGCCACATTGAGCCACCTCCTCACACTCCCTGCACCTGCCGAAGGAAATTCCAAATTCTGCTCAGAGGGCGTTGCTGAGAACACAAGTCAATTTCTTTAAAGCAGCGGGCAGCCCCCGCTTTCTCCCGAGAGTGGCGATCAGCCCTCCAGGGGACAGGTCGGTCAGGGCCCGCGTCTCGCCGCGGCCCCCTTACTTCCTCCAGCTGTTCTCCACAAACCCCTGGAACTCCCAGGCCTTCTGCTGGCTTGGGCCCTGACTCACGTTTCTCACTAAGCACTGACGGTTTGCCTTTTTCATCATGCAGTTGACACACATTTTTTTTTTCCTTCTCCATAAACATGCTCACGAATGCGGATTCTGTTCTCCCTGGTCTGCTTCCAGACCTCCTGCCTGCTGCCAGGGCGGGGGGGGGCGGGGGTCAGGTGCCCGGGCCAGGGCTGGCCACCGGGAGCCAGGAGGCATTCCTGGCCACTGCCCAGAGTAACACCTCACCCCTGCCCGGGGGGTCTCCACAAAGCAGGTTTATACTTCTGGAAGCCTTTTTCACCTTGGGGTGGAGGGAGAGGCTCAGGACATAATTCGGACTTGGGAAATTCTTCCCGAGCCTTGCTTCCTGCTTGCATCGCTGGCCCACCAGAGACCCTCAGACACGTTGGACCCACAAACTCCAGCAGCTCCAGAGGACGGTACATTGGCAAAAGCAGCAGATTCAGAGCCAGACTGCTGGGTCCAGGGCCGTGGATGCCAGGGGTGGCTTGTGGCCTTGGGCGAGTTAGCGGTCCTCTCTGAGCCACGGCTGTGTCCAGGCACGAGCGTGAGAGGGACGTTCCCTGGGCCCTGGTGCAGCGTAGACGCCTCGCAAGCGCAGACCTGGGCAAGTGGGAGTTACTACACTTTGTGGTTATAACAGTGTTCCCTCTATTTTAAGATACCATTGGGAGTGAGATGCATCCTCGATTTAATAGCAGCAGTTTGAGAGGGAAAAAGCCCCAATATGGCATTCAGTGCACGCTCAGATCGCAAGAAGCGTGCGTTGTCTGGGGATTGAGGACGTGTGGCCATCTCACTTAGCCTGCTGTGTAACTGGGGGCAGCGTTTTTGGCTCCTGGGCCTCAGTTTTCTTGTCTGTACAATGGGTATCGTGACGTAGGGCCTTTCCAGGGCTGGCCCAGTGCCGGTTCTTGGTGAGAGTGCATTGCTCTTACCAACTGGAACACTCGCCAGTGAGAGTTATGTGTAAAGGGGAAAGAACAGAGGAACGGGGGGCCTTGTGGGGGCTAAAGGAGCCCCACTTAGAGCAGGCACTGCCACTCCCCGGGAGTGTGGGCAGCGCAGCCCACAGCCCCTGATTAGTTCCCTTCCCACAGGAAGGGTGCATCCTTGGAATCTTGACACCTTTGAAAAGTAACATAAGCCCTGAGAAGTTCCCCAGAGACCCTTAAAAAGGAAAACTTTTCCCAGCGCAGGCCAGCCTCACCCTGTGAGGCCCAGGCTGGGTGGTACGATGGAAAGAATGTGGACTCGGAAGCAAGACTGAGCAGGTTTGGGTCTCTAGGAGTTTGGATTCCACCTCTTACCCTACGAGGCAACTGTGTGCAGCTCACACATTTCTTTAGGAAAAGTGCTTTCCTTTATCAAGCACTTGCCACACACGCGCACTGGGCCCGACTCTGTGCTAGGTGCCGGGGGGACAGGGGGTGGAGACGGATCTCCTGCTCTCAGTCCCTCTGCATCTGAGCAGCACCAACTACGAAAAGCGGTGACAGCGCCTGCTTGGTGGGACGGAGAAGGGGAGGCTGCTGGCCCACGGAAGGCCACCAGCAAGGGGACAGGCTTCTGTCCAGGAAGAGAAAAGAGCAGCCATCCTGAGGGAGTGATGGGCACATGCACTCTTCTGACCAGCTCAAATCTGGCTACTTGATCTTTTGCAAATACCCACGTTTTGAAAGAGGTCTTGTTGGGCTGGAGGTGAGCTGGAAGATGCCTCGTCCCTCAGGGGCCCTTGGGGGTAAATGCAGACAAGACTTGGGGTTGTCCTAAAGACTGGGCAGCGTGACTAGAATGTAGGAGGCAAGCGTCTGCATCACCCAGGACAGTGCTGCTCAGTAAAGAACTGTCCCGGCCAGATGCCACAGCTCCACTGTGAGCACCAGAGGCTTGGTGCAGGGAGCGGGGGATTGTTTGGAGGCTTGGAAACCCTGTCCGACAAGGAATGGCTGAAACAGCTCCCAACAGCCTGAGAGCTAGAGAGGGAGGGTGGCTGGACGGGAGGGACCAGGACCAGGTCCCAGATCATTGCTGGAGTCTGACACCCCCACCCCGGGGGGCCACCGCCTTGTGCTCTCCGGCTTGTGGCCTGGGAGGGCTGGGGTTCGGGGTGGGTGTTGTTGTGCGTGCAGCTGTCAGGGCCAGGCCTGCCTGCCCCCGGCCAGTACGCTGGGGACTTCGGGCTTCTCAAGGCTCGCACGGCGCACCTGCCCTCTGGCTCAGCGTCAGCGGCTGTTCTGCGGGTGGGGCAGCCTTCTCCCCACATTGTGCAGAAGTTCTGAGAATCAGGAGGAAACTGTGTGCTGGGAGGAAGCATCTTGTCCCCGGGACAGGTTCGAGCTTGGGCTCAGGCCGCAGCTGTCAGGTTGGCTTACGGTTCCACCAAGCATACGCTGTATGTCTGCCAGGCCAAAGCTGCTGCCCCAAGCCCTGGGAACCACCCTGTCCCCATTTCCTCACCTGCCCAGCTTGTCCCTGGTGTTACCCACACCCAACACAGCAGGAGAAAGGCGGTTCTTGGCCATCTGGCTTCTAAACCACCCGTGGAATGCAGAATGAGGCTGAAGACCTGGGCCTCGTGCTCACTGAGTCCAGCTTTCCCCCTTATTAGCTCTGTGACCTTCGGCGGCCGCCCTGAGCTCGTTGGGAGGTCTGGGGAGTCCTAGAGCCAGCCTGGCCCCGTTGATGTGAGGACTAAATGTTAGGTGATTGACACCTACAGCTCATCGGAGGCCTTTGGGATGCTCAAGGTGCCTTATCTCCCTTTCCTTCATGAACGCAGGGCAGGCCTGGCTGTCTTCTTCCCCGGGGGTGGGTGGGCAGGCCTCTCCCAGCCTAGCTGCCGTTCTTCCTTCCGTCCCAGGCCAGTCTGGCCCGCCAGCCCTGAGGCTGGCACTGCTCTCCGGATGCTCATGGCCGATGCTCTGCTGGCCACGGGTGTCCCACACCCTACCCCTTGGGCTTGGCTAGCCCTTGGACACCCAGCCTCTGCCCAGCACACCTACTGTGCACCCCCAGACTGGTCAGCCCGGGCATTTGGAGCAGGGCCAGGAGCTAACTGCAGACTCGGAACCGGGCCTGGCTGAGGCAGGAAGGAGGTCCAGTGCCCTCTTTCTCTTCGTGCCTGTGTCCCCCACTCGCAGTCCTGTGTGAGCTGCCAGGAATGGAGCCTGCAGGAGGCCGAGCTCGAGGCGGGGGAGACTGAGCTTAGCGCCCGGGGAGTGCAGGCGACATGCACCGTTGTGCGGAATGGGCTCGTTGAAGTCCCCTTCTGCTCAGGAGTGAACCCAGGCCAGGCTGTGTTGCTGCCCTGAAGGCCCCGGCTCCGTGGCCTCTGATACCCACTGATAAGAAGCGATTTAAAGTCTCCTCAGGGTTTTCTGTATTTAATGGCATTTCTACATAGAACATGTTTTATTTTTTTAAAGCCAAAGAAAAACTAGTAAGTGCCTTTTTCGATAGAGGGAAGTGGCCTTCTGTGCAGGTGGGAGCAGGAGACGAGACGTCGTGCTGTTCAGTGAATAGGACCGCAGACGTGGGAGCCAGGCTCCTGGGTTCAAGCCCCAGCTCCTACCAGCGGTGCGACCCTGGGCCAGCCCTTACCCTGAGGGTTTTCAAGTCTGTAGAATGGGGGTGGCAAGTGCGTCCAGCTCAGCAGGTTTCTCAGAGGGACGCAGGGGCTGATCCATGTGTGCATTTGGAAGAGCCTCTGCTCCCAACAAGCTCTGTCTATAGTGTTTGCTCCTGTTACTTTTAGATTTTTCTGGAAACCATGAATCAGACAGGTGAGGGAGGTTGTGGGTAGGGGTTTAGAGGGAAGACAAGCTTGTCACAAAAATCAATGACTCCCCCCCCCAAAAAAAAGAAGCACATAGGTTTGGGGTCAAAAGGGGTCTCCACATCCTGCTGTGAGGCCGATGGGCCTGTGGGCTCGCTGGGCCCGGCCACCTGGCACACAGAGCTCATGCCCAGCCTTGGGCACTGGGGTCCAAGGACCCGGCTGTGGATCCCAGCTCCCCACTTCCCAACTGTCTGGACTCAGGTGGGGCCTCACTCTCATCTGTAAGGCAGGTAACTCGAGTGCCAGTTCTGAGGAGCCCATGAGCAAGTTTGGGCCCAGTGCACGGCCTCGCGAGTGCCCCTCAAACCTCCACATGTGGCACTGTTAGGACTTAGCTCAAGCCACCAGACGCTTCTGGGAATTCTTTTCCAGGGTGGGAGCTGGATTCTAAAGGCTGCCACTTTCTCACTGGAGTCTCTGCAGGGAGGGAGGGCAGGAAAGGGCTGTCACCCGGGGGTTATATAAACAGTGCCTTATTGGTGGGGGCACATACTGGTTCCTGGGGATGAAAAGATCTCAATTGTCTTTTGGTGTAAAGTACAGACGTACGGCACGTAAACAGATACGCAGCATATTGGGACAACAGTCAGGGACAAATGTCGAGAAAGCTCCTCGGGGCAGGGGCGGGGGGGGCGTGCACAGGGGCACCAGCAGATGGTGGTAAGAAGCTTGAGAAACGCCAGATTCTCAATGGAAGGGAGCCCCAGGGCCACAGGCCCACGATTCAGGGTCCTTTCCTCTGCCCAGGCCATCCAGGCACCGTCGGGGCCCCTCCTGTGGGCAGTGCCAGATGTCAGTAGGGGTCCGACTGTAGCCCTACCCGCGCCAACACAGGCCATTGGATGAAGGGTTCAGATACCCCCTCCTGCCAGAATCCAGCTTCCTGCCCCAGCCAAGACAGGATCCAGGTCAGATTGCGCACCCGAGCGCGCAGCTGAGGACGCACGCTGTTCCACTTGTCAACATCCCCTTCGACTTGGGAGTGAACCCCGGACCCCCGCTGCCTCTCCCTAGCGTGTGCTGCGTCCGCAGCTCAACAGGCCTCTTCCGGGCACCAGCCATCTGCCTGGCCTGGTGCCCAGCCTGGCAGGTGCAGAGATAAGAGGCGGCCCCTCCCGGGGCTGCTGTGAGCAAGGTATGTGCGCACCTGGGCACCCGGAAGTCTTCCGTGTTGGCGGGGCTGTTCCAGGGGCCCCACCGCTGTGTGGGGGGCCGCAGAGGTGCCTGGCTGGCTTAGGACGGTCGGTGAGAACTGGCTACCTCTGGGTTTGCTTTCCAGCACAGTCCCCAAAACCAGAGTAATAGGAGAACCCAGGTCAGGGGCTGTACCAGGTCTAGGCTCTGGGTGGGGCAAGAGGAGGTCACAGCCCCAGAAGCACCTGAGGTCAAATCCGAAGTACTAGCTGGTGATTTGTACAAATATGAAACATCTGTGGGCCTTGTCCTCCTGCAAAATGGGGTGTAGGAATTAGGGGCCTCGGGGGGCGTCCTTGAGTGTTAAGCGGGGCACATGTGAATGTTCTAGTGCCCGGTAAAGGCCCGTCAGTGCCTTCGCCGTCCTAGCTGCTGGGTTTTGTTCCGTTACTCTACCCTCCCCATTGTTATTACTGTCATTCGAAGGGACTGTTTTGTTAAAGCACTGTTATCTGGACATAGGAGGAGAAGCATCTGATAAATGAGGCGGGCTGACCCAACTGCAAATAAATAGCACATATTTATTGTTTTTTATGAATGAGTCTATACATTTGCCCCTCAGTTCTGGTCAAAGATGAGAATGCTTTTGCATTCCCAACATAAGCCTCCTCTGCTAGTCAGCTCGGGCGGCCGCAACAAAATTATACAGACCAGGTGGCTTCGGCAACAGAAATTTACTTTCTGGCAGTTCTGGAAGCTAGAAGTGTGAAATCATGGTGTGGGCAGGGTCAGTTTCCTCTGGGGTCTCTCTCCTGGGCCTGCAGTGAGCTGCCTTCTTCCCCTATCCTCACAGGGTCTTCTTCCCTCTGTGTGTGTGTGTCCTGGTCTCCTCACCACGTTAGGACGCTAGTCACACTGGGCTAGGGTCCCCCTCATGGCCCCATTTTTGCCTTCATCACATCTGTGTCTCCAAACACAGACACAGTCTAAGGTACTGGGGTGAGGATTTCAGCCCGATAATTCGAAAGTCGGAAGGAACAACGATCTGGTAACTGGGGTGCAGGGGTGAGGTGGGATGAAAGGGGAGGGGTAGAGCTGGAGGTCTGGCCCCTTTGGTTGCCATAAGGAGGTCTCTGGACAGGTTCTGTCAGGCGCATAGACACCAGCTGCTTGTCTCCCCAGCTCCCTGGAAGCAGGACAAAGCCCACGGGAGTCTCTGCCAGACCCTCGCCCCATCGTGGGCCATCCGTGACAGCACATGGTGAACCTCTCCTTGTCCAGTCTGAACCTGACTGTCACCCCCTCTCTCTCTAGGTCCGACTACGATGACTGGAGACCGTCCCTGGCCAGCTTGCTTCAACCCATTCCATTCCCCAAAGAGTAAGTCCCACACCGGTCTCTGACCTCAGTTGTCCACAAGTCACCCCGGGAACACCACGGACAGTGGTGAGAGAGGGAGAGGTTGGTCTTCAACTGTGGGACCCCTGGGGAGGCACAACCACACCCCACCCTGAAAAATGGGGAGGTTACCTCATGGCAACATTACAAGGATTCACTGAGCTAAGAAGGCAGACAAAGCCCTCCCCACCATGCCTTCATGCAGTGAAGTTAGCGATTTTGATTATGCCTCCGATGGGACCAGGACTACCTGCCTGCGCGCTCTCCGAAGGCCACAGCAAAAATCACAGGATAATGCACATGGAATTGCTTTCTGGGCCTTACAGCGATATGCTGAACACACTCTTACTGCGCCCATTACGATTATTACCTTGTGTTCCACGGCGAGTTGGGCCAGAAATGGGCCCTTCGTCTTTCTCTTGCCAGCCCTTATCTCAATATTGAATTTATCCGAGGAAAATAGGGAGAAAACTGGTGGATAATGGCCTGAGGAGAGAAGGCTTTGTCTGAATAACCAGGCCCTAAAATGCCTCCAGGTCTCTGTTTTGACAGATGTGGAGAAGCCAGGCCTCAGGAGGCAGCTCGGGGCTCTCTCAGGAGCCGATTAACGAGCCTGTGTTTATGAAATGCGGCTCTCCAAGGGGGACATTACACCCAGTAATTGCCCCATTTGCTGGCCTGGCCGGTCCCTGGGGCCCCCAGGACTCAAGACCGGAGAAATCTGACTCCTGAGAGCCACGGCTGTCTCCAAAGAGCAGTGGCATCATTGGCTGCATTCGCTGTCCCCACGGCCCCGGGGACGCACGTGACAGTGGGCCCATGATGCAATTCACTTGAAGAATGGTCCCCGAACGCCCCCCTGACGTACAGCGTAATTAGTGCGGCCGCACCTTCTCGGTGGAACAGTTACCGAGCACACCTGGGTCACGGGCCATCCGCTCAGCACCGCTGCTGTCCACAGGTGCGGGGCCCGGGGGGCTCCGTCTAGTCCCGTTCCTACAGTCTTGGCCTCATCAAAGGAGGCCTCTGTTGTGCAGTTTCAAGGAGGGACAAAATGTCCGTGTTTCATTCTCAACTTCCTCCTCATTCTTCGGATCAGACAAAACCTCACCGTCCCCAGAGGAAGATCTGTGGATCATTGTGGGTTTCAAAAGCACCCCGCTAACTGCAGTTTTCCCTCTGTTTTTGTTACAGAGCTCTCGCACATGAGAAGTTCACCAAGTGAGTATTGGGGCAACGCCCTCGTTACCTCCTTCCGGTGCAAATGTCCTGTCCTCTCTCCTGAGGCCGTCCCCCTGCGGCCAGCCCTCCTTCCAGCCCCTTCTCAGTCACATGCATTCTGGGAGGCAGCCATGGCTCCTCTTGGAAGTTCTGCACCACATGTCCAGGCCTGTCCGGGTGTTTCCTGACCCCGGCCAGCTCTGTTCGGCTCCCCATGCCCCGGCCCTCTCCTCTAGCCCCCATCATGGTCCACTCGAACCAGGAGCCGGCGAATGACTGCCACCACCCTGTCTCTTTCAGGGAACTGAAGTATGTGATTCAGAGGTTCGCCGAAGACCCACGACAAGAGGTGAGGCCTCCCTCACTCCCTCGAAGGCACCCTCTCAGGGCTACGGCAGGACACCCGTGGGCCTCTCCGAGCCTTCTGTAGTCTTCTGCCAGGGCCTCCTTGTCTCCCACGGGCATTCAGAACAGTTTACAAAGGCTCCTTGCCTTGATGCATAAACACAGCCCCCCCCCCCAGTGATGGGGGGTGCCCGGCCCATGATGTCAGTCCTTTCCTATACCCTCAGGCTCACCAGAGGTGGTTTCCCAGCGGCTGGCGGTTTCTTCTTGGAGCACAGGTCTTGCTTTAGGTGCAGCCTGCCACAGGGGTTCCCAGCCAGCTCCAGGATAGCAGTGGGTCCTCGTTAGGCTGCTGTTCTGAGAATCAGCAAACCAGGGAAGACATCTGAGCTGGGATCTGAGCCGGCTTTCATTTCCCGAGCATGATGGCTGTGGGCCTCCCTGAGGGGCCACTCTGTCCCTCCAGTATCTGGGCTTCAGGGAGAGCTCAGCTTTCCCCACCCTCCGCTCCCCCCAGAGGCTGTGTGAGCAAGGACTGTGTGGCCTGGGTTCCTCCATCCATTGTATCAGCATAGCGACAGGCAGCCTTGCCTCGGGGCTCACCCTGTGTCAGGCACATGCGTTTTCTCCTTGAATTTCCCCCACAAGCACGAGTAGATTCTGTCATCACCCCCGTTTACATCGGAAGTACCCTCCTCTTAGAGCTGAGAAACCTGAAGTTGTGGGACATCCCCACGGTCACAGAGCTGGTACCTGGCCAAGGCAGGACTCAAACCCAGGGACTGTGGCTCCAGAGTCTATTCAGTGCCCAGCTCCGCAGCGGACACACTGGGCCGGACAGGGCTGCAGAAATGAGCAGGATGCTGGCCTTGCCCCGTGTAGCTCGCAGCCCCCTTCTCTGTGGGCAAGGACCCTGGGATGTGAGGGGATCTGGCTTCCAGGTGGAGACAGACCGGGACACATGTACCCCCAGCGCAGTGGGAGGTTAAGGATGGGCAGAGGAGGAAATGATTTCTTCTTCTTGATGGAACCAGAATATTCTCTCTTCAGTCCCCACTGTAAAACCGTTCTAGAAGGATCAAGTTCTAAAACACCTTGATTCTAAACCCTGATTCCCAAAGTGGTCCTCAGGTGCAGTGGGAACAAGCAAAACTGGCAGATAGGGAGCTCTTAAGTGGTCGGATACCCGTGCTGGTCTAAGCCATCCTTCAGTGCGTGTGAAGACAGATTCTCAGAATTCCCCTGGAAAGTGAGCCTTTAGTTCAAGCACAAACTTTGAAGCTAAAGAGTAAAAGTGGTCCCAGCTGCTTTCCAGAGTGGAGAGGCAGAGCCAAGTGCTGGCAGGGAGCTTTCCGAGCCTGGTACCATCCGCAAGGCGCCGGGGGGACTGGTAAGCAAGGGGCCCGTCCTGCAGGGGAGGCCCTGCCCCCAGCAGGCCCCTCACCAGGCCTTGCTCCGGGCTCCTGTGTGCCTCTCCCTTTGATTCTTTTTCTCCTCCTCGCTCTCCCCTCCCACCTTCTTCCTCCTGAAGAAGCCAGAGTTATAAATCCTTTGATGTATTTGCTGAATAGTTTCATACTCTTGATTCCTTATTTCTTTGAAGTAGACAAATTAACATTTGATATTCTTCCAACTCCGAGGGAAAAATCAAAGCCCCACTGCCTCTGTTTTCTGTTTACTTGTGTGTGGGTTGTGATCAATTGAATATCTGTGAGTAAGTGGCTTTTGGCAGCAAATTGTCCTTCACTCCTGAAGGAAATGATCGGGACATCTCTCAGCTCTCTTCTGAGGACAGGGAGGAGGGGAAGAAACAAAGGCTTTTGCTTCTCTCTCTCTCTCTCTTCAGTTATAGGAGGGGCCGAGGTGTGTGTGGAGCTCCTTCCGCACACACATGCCCACCACACACTCCCACGCGCAACTCTGGGAGGGCGGTCGAGACCCACAGAGGGAACTGTGCTCATGCACACAACTGTCCCACCCTGGACAAAGAGCCTTCCAGGGAGAGGCACAGACCGAGAAGGAGGTGCAGACCCCCAGCGGTGAAGGGGGAGGGTGCCCTGTGAGCAGGATGTTCAGAGGGAGCTGAGGGCAGAGAGAGAAAGGAGAAAAAAGAGCTCCTCCCGTAACCACCCCCCGCCCCCCAGAGGGGCATAGGAGAAAAGGGGACTAAGTCTGAGCAGTTGCTTGGAGCCTCTCTTCCCGTGATTTGGCCACAGACTTGCTTTTGTTGCGGGCAACTCACCAAGCCCGGCCTGGCCCTTCGTCCCTCGGAGCTGAAGGTGAATGGCTGGAGTTCCCCAGTTTATGGAAGCCACACTTTTCCCCAAAAGGCCTTCCATGGTATTAGTAGGAGGTGGGAGTCGCTGGACTAGAAGTGAAACAGGCCTCCTAACTGCGGGACTTGTCCGAGCCTTTACCGTCTGCCGGGCTCCCTGGGGCCCCCGGGGACTGACCGCTGTGCCCCTCCCCTGCGCAGGTGCATTCGTGCCTGCTGAGCGTGCGGGCGGGCAAAGACGGCTGGTTCCAGCTCTACAGCCCCGGAGGGGTGGCCTGTGACGACGACGGCGAGCTGTTCGCCAGCATGGTATGTGGGGCGGGCCCTCCCGGGGCACGGCGGGACGGGCCCCAGGCTTGCCCCTCGGACGAGGCCAGAGCTGCCCCGACCCGGCGGGGGCGGCCAGCCTGGGAACCCCCAGACTGCATCGAGGCTGAGGAGGGTGATGAAGGGGACGACCACAAGTGTCGCCTGCCATCTCTCACCTGAGGGGCGCCCAGCCAGGGGCTCGAAACTCCTGCCCGCGCGCAGCCCCACTCAGCTCCATGAGGCGGTGCCACCTCGCAGACGAGGGGCTGAAGCCCGAGGCGCCCACCGCCCAAGCGCACACCGCTCATTGTAGCAGCAGCGTTCAGGTCCGGCCACGGAGGGCTTGGTGTGCACAGGGGTTCCAGAAGGCGCTGCAGACCCACCGGCTCGCCTGACCTTTGCCTGAAAAGCCAAGGTCAGGATGATCGTCTCACCCTGGAGATGAGAGATGTGAGGTCGCCAAACCAGGAACCGCACCCCCGGTGACCTCAGTGCGTTCTTTGTGCCGGACCCCTCACGTGCGCTGTTTCTCCATCTTCCGCCTTCTGCCTTAAGCACGCTGGTGTTGAAGCAGCCTAGGGAGGCGTGGTGGCCTGCCCGAGCCCACACGGGCCTTCGGCCTCCACGTCGCTCCGTGACCCAAGCCCACGCTGTCCAGAGCCGACCCCTTCTGCCAGTGGCAGCGTGCACGTGTCTTGAAGGGGGCCCGCGCTCCCCTCCCGGTGGCCGGGGACCTCGTCCTGCTTGCTGACGCGGCCAGCTGGGCTCTGGGACCCTGCGTGTTCCCAACCCCGAGAAAACATGACTCGGACGGCGCCCTGGGCTTCGCCACCTCGTCTGTGAGCCAGGGGCGGAGCGCCGGCTTCTGGGCTCACCGTGCCTTTGCACGCGACAGCGGACGCGGGGCGCCCAGCCAGGGCCTAGGGCACAACGGCCTGCAGTTGGTCTCGTCTCTCTGCTGGGCCACCCGTTCAGCGGGGCCCACGGCTCACGAAGCTCTCGCAGTGACGCCAGATCCGGCGCTGCCTCTGGAGTCTTTCTTGAAAGGGACTTATTTTTGGAGCGTCTTCCTTGCGCACTGGCCCTCCACTCCTCACCCGCTGCCTGACGAGCGCCTCTCGAGTGCCCTGTGCACCCTGGAGGTGCTGGCCTCCGCCTGCCCGCACCCCCCCACCTCTCACGAGGGCTCCCCTGATGTCACAGCTTCACCATGGCAACAGCCACTGGTCCCCCACCCCTCGATGTGGGGACTCAGTGTGTGAGAGAAGTCGGGCAGCTGGCAGCTTCCCAGCCTGCGAGATTGCGTCCGTTTGCCAGAGCTGTTAATGATGGAGCGGAAAAAATATACATGGAAAAGGAAGCAGGCAGCCCCTGGGATGGCAGCGCCTCGTTTCCATGGAGATGCAGGGCGCGGGAGAGGTCCCCTTGGTCAGGCTGCCGTTTCCAGCCATGGAAGGGCGTTTGTTATCGCATGAAGTCTGGGGGGAAAGCACACGAAATGCATGGGCCCCAGCCCTGTTGGTTGGGGTCCCCCGCCCTTGGGCGCCCCTCCAGATACGCCAGGAAGAAACAGTTTTCTCAACGGCGGCCCTGCTTGTAACCCGGGTGGGGCAGAATTTGCCAATTTCTGGATTTCTGGGGCAGGTGATCACTCAGCACCCCTTGGAGCTCCCAGAGAGTTTGGGAAGGGGGAGGCAGAGCTCCCTGCCGTTCTCTGTCCTGCATATGGTGGCACTGTACCCCCTAAATACTAATGCCGCCCAGCCCCCACCCTGGCAACCCCCATTTGACTTCCTGCCTCCAAACCTGACGCTCCAGGTCCCTCACATGCATGGAATCCTACAGGATTTGTCCTTTGTGATTGGCTTACTTAGCACCATGTCCTTGAGGTTCATCCACATTGGAGCGTGTGTCAGGGAGGGGGGGTCTTCTGAATCTCCCTGCAGGGAGGGGTCTGATGATCATTTCAGATCGAGCGTCCAGGCAGGAGGTAGGGCGGGCCTTCTGGTTTTGGAATCCTTCCAGCATCCCAGAAGCAGGCGTCTTGGGCCACAGCCCCACGGTGGCCCCTGCTCTTCACACGGGCCGTCTCCCCTCGCAGGTGCACATCCTCATGGGCTCCTGTTACAAGACCAAAAAATTCCTGCTCTCCCTGGCGGAAAACAAGCTGGGCCCCTGCATGCTCCTGGCGCTGAGGGGGAACCAGACCATGGTGGAGGTAAGGAGCCGGCCCGCGTCCCTGGCCAGGCCGCTGTCCTGTCCGGGCCTTCGTCCTTGTTGGCTGAGCGCCTTGTAGGAGGAGCCCAGAGCTGTGAGCTCAGCCGGAGCACAGCCCCCGCCGAGGTGTGGCCCCGGCCTGCCCTGAGCCTCGGGCTAGCCTGCCGCCACAAGTTACCCGTCTCACTTGTCATCTGTGTTGACCCGAGGGATCAGGGGAGGTTTCTGTTCCATTTGTCTATTGCTGTGTAACAGAGCACCCGAATGGGGGCTTAAAACGGTGATACTTATTTGGCTCACAGATCTTGGGGTGACTGGGCTCAGTTGACAGGTGCTCGCTCTGGGTCTCGTGGGGAGGCCAGAGCATCTGGGGCCCCAGGCCTCTCTCCATGCAGCAGCCTGGGCCGCAGTCGTCCCGCTCACCAGGGAGCGCACGGCTGGCCCAGTTCCTGTCTGTCTCCTCCCAAAGTCCCCAGAAGCCTGAGGCTCCCAGAGCTGCTGTCCAAAGGCAGACAGAAGCCGTCCTGCTCTTCCTCACGCACCTCCCAAGTCAGCCCCCTAATGTCACTGTGCCACATTCTGCAGGGAGAAGTGCCAGCCCATAGTCTAGGGCTGGGGCTGAGAACACCTCTTAGTGGGAAGCGCGTCCCGAGAATTTGAGCCCCAGACTTTCTTCCCTGCCACTGAGCGTTGCAGTGAGATTTGGGGGCAAGGAGTTCACAAGAAGGCAGGAGCAGAGCGTCCAGGCCAGGCCCTGCAGCAGGAGGTGTGGTGTGAGAACAGGGAGGAGGCCAGCATGGCTGGGTCGAGGGGCAAGAGGTTGGGGATTCAGGTGGATGGGCCTGGAGAGCCTATGAGGCGCCCACAGGCCCTGGTAAGGATCTTGGAGGTTGGGTCCAGATGCTTGTGCAGGGGACTTGCAGGGACTGGGGGTGGGGGGGGAGCCGGGAGGCAGGTGAGCCATGCTGTGAGGGCCTGGGTCAGGTGGGCTCTCCTTGGGAGGGGAGGAGTCATCAGAAAGGGAATCGAGGCAGGGCTACCTTCGCGTGAAGCCCGGGCTCCCAGGCAGGAGGGCTGGGAAGAGTGACACACGCAACCGCCCGAGGCTCCAGGAGGCATGATGTGGCAGGTGCTCCCCAGGGCTCCAGTTTAACTCAGTGAGCATGTCTTGAGCACCAACCAAGGGCCAGGCAAAGGAGAGAAAGCCAGGGATGCAAAGAGGTGTCCTGTCTTGTGGGCTCTCTCCCAACCCTTCAGGTCCTGGCATGCATCCTTTCTCCATGCATTTGCCAAGGGCCTGCTCTGTGCTCAGCTGAGTATGCATGAATGTTCCCATTGTATGGATGGGAAGCTGCGGATGGCGATTTGCCCAATATCACACAGCCGGAAAGGCAGAGAGGGGAGAGCACGGTTGCTCGTTTTCAGGATAAGATTTTGAGGTGCGTAGAGCACACCGAGCTTATCCATAGACCCCTGTCCCCTGGTGCGTGGGGCTGTTGGCCCAGGCTGAGGGGGTTTGGCCCTCTGTGCCTGTAAGGAGCAGCCCTGCCCGGAGTCTCGGGCTGGCTGTAAGGTGCCTCCCCTGCTCTCGGGCAGATCCTGTGCCTGATGCTGGAATACAACATTATCGACAACAACGACACCCAGCTGCAGATCATCTCAACCCTGGAGAGCACGGGCGTGGGCAAGCGCATGTACGAGCAGCTGTGTGACCGGCAGCGGGAGCTCAAAGAGCTGGTGAGTCCACAGCCCGGCTCCGCGGCTCCAGAGCTGGGCCAGCCAGAGAGCACAGCTGGGGTGCGGTGGGGCAGAGGCCAGGACCACCACACCTGCATGGGCCTCTGTCCCAGTGAGTTCTCCAGACCCAGAGAAGTCGGGACTACCACCTGCCACTTTCCAGATGATCACAGAGAGGGCAAGTCAGTGGCCCACAGTCACAGAGCTCCTCCTTGGCCGTGCCAGGAATGCGTCCTCACCCCCAGCGTCACGCACGCCAGTCACTGTCACCCCCCCCCACACACACATTATCCATGTGCCTTAGGCCCTTCTTTAAGGGCACCAGGGCTAGACTTCAGAATGGCAACGAACTCATGCCCCTGGTCCCCTGGAGCTGCTCTCACCCAGTGGCTGGTAGGGGAGGGTGTGTAAATACCCCAGCTCCCTCTCCACGCGGGTGGGACACCTCTGAGACATGACCCAGAGGCCCTCAGCGGTAGCTGTGCGCGAACACTCCCTTCCTGAAGGGGCTTCACTGTCTCCCTTCCCCTGCTGGTGTTTCTTGGGATCCCCTCTCTAATAAACCAACTCCACCCCAACCTTGTCTCAGGGTCTGCCCCGAGACCAAGACCCCCATGTTGTTGCCTTGTACCACCCAGAAGTGAACCTGGCGCTGTGCGTGATGTTAATGGGAGGGGGGGTGCAGGATGGAGGCTCAGGGGAAAGAATGGGTCGTAATCAGTCTGTTTCTGTTGCAGCAAAGGAAAGGCGGGCCCACTAGGCTAACACTGCCCTCCAAGTCCACAGTGAGTTGGCTTCAATCTTCTGTGGGGCCGGGTGGAGGGAAGAAGGTGGTTAGGCCTCCCCACTGGGGAGCAGCAGCGTCTGGCGGAGGCGAACAAGACAACGTAGTCCTCGACAGGCCAGCTTTTCCAGGAGGCAACCGGGGTGCAGGAAACCAAACAGGATAAGGATTATTGTTGATACTAATGTTAATATGTTATCAGTTAGTAATAATAGCTAATACCCATGGAGCGTTTCTGTATCAGATGCTGGGTCATGAGTCCATTTTATCACCACAAAAGCGCTGTGAAGTTGGTGCCTCTTTCCGGCCCCATTAACAAGTCTTCAGGGATCTCAGTTCCTTCTGTCCTGCTGCCTCACTGTCCTTGGCATGAGACTTCCACCTCATGGTCCAAAAAGACTGCTCAAGCTCTAGCCATCATGTCTGCATTCAAACCAGCAGAAGGAGGAGGAGCAAAGAAGAACATGCCCCTTCCCTTTCAGGACTTGCCTGGAAGTTCCAGTGGACACATCTCCCTGTATACCATTGTCCAGGTTCAGGACATGGCCACACCTGGCTGGGAGATTAGCCTTAATTCAGGGCAGCTGGCTGACGGCTAAAATTCAAGGATTCAGTCGCTAAGGTGGAAGGGAGAACGGATTTTACCCTCGGTGGCCTCTTGGTCTAGTGCTCACACATGCATTGATCTACACAGGCCTTAGAGTTGAGGGGACCTCAGTGTTCACAGGTGGGAAATGGGCACAAGGTGCTGCCTGGGAGGGTGAGTTGGCCAGGCACACATGGACGCGCGCACGCACACACACCCGTGGGAGGGACGTGGCCTCAGAACACCCCAGTTGGTGAATCAGGGCATGAGTCACAGTACTGGAGGCTTTCTCCCTCACCCCCAGGGACGTGGAAGCAGCCTTTCCCTCCCCG